TGCCTTGAGGAGGTGACCGTGGGCTGGGAGGCGGCTCAGTGGTAGAGCGCTTGCCTTGAGGAGGTGACCGTGGGCTGGGAGGCGGCTCAGTGGTAGAGCGCTTGCCTTGAGGAGGTGACCGTGGGCTGGGAGGCGGCTCAGTGGTAGAGCGCTTGCCTTGAGGAGGTGACCGTGGGCTGGGAGGCGGCTCAGTGGTAGAGCGCTTGCCTTGAGGAGGTGACCGTGGGCTGGGAGGCGGCTCAGTGGTAGAGCGCTTGCCTTGAGGAGGTGACCGTGGGCTGGGAGGCGGCTCAGTGGTAGAGCGCTTGCCTTGAGGAGGTGACCGTGGGCTGGGAGGCGGCTCAGTGGTAGAGCGCTTGCCTTGAGGAGGTGACCGTGGGCTGGGAGGCGGCTCAGTGGTAGAGCGCTTGCCTTGAGGAGGTGACCGTGGGCTGGGAGGCGGCTCAGTGGTAGAGCGCTTGCCTTGAGGAGGTGACCGTGGGCTGGGAGGCGGCTCAGTGGTAGAGCGCTTGCCTTGAGGAGGTGACCGTGGGCTGGGAGGCGGCTCAGTGGTAGAGCGCTTGCCTTGAGGAGGTGACCGTGGGCTGGGAGGCGGCTCAGTGGTAGAGCGCTTGCCTTGAGGAGGTGACCGTGGGCTGGGAGGCGGCTCAGTGGTAGAGCGCTTGCCTTGAGGAGGTGACCGTGGGCTGGGAGGCGGCTCAGTGGTAGAGCGCTTGCCTTGAGGAGGTGACCGTGGGCTGGGAGGCGGCTCAGTGGTAGAGCGCTTGCCTTGAGGAGGTGACCGTGGGCTGGGAGGCGGCTCAGTGGTAGAGCGCTTGCCTTGAGGAGGTGACCGTGGGCTGGGAGGCGGCTCAGTGGTAGAGCGCTTGCCTTGAGGAGGTGACCGTGGGCTGGGAGGCGGCTCAGTGGTAGAGCGCTTGCCTTGAGGAGGTAATGGATTCGGCAAAGTTCTGCATGAGCTGAGCTCTGCAAGACCGTCCACAACCCAAACTGCTGAGAACCACAGAGGACAAAGAACCCTGGACAGCCACAGAGAGCACTGTGGGCGGCCATCAGCGGGAGACGTGGATGCCCGTCAGAGGGAGACGTGGACACGAGGAGACTCGGATGCCCGTCTGAGGGAGATTCTGGACTTTCTGACAAGGGAAGAGCAGTTGGGATCCTACAAATTTTTCTGGAAGAGAGGCTTAAAAGAAACCAACAGTCAGAGAAACAGGGCTGTGTGGATAAGAAAACAGAAGCCAGAGAACCATGTCCCCTGTGAATTCTCTCCAACAACCTGCTACTCCAGTGAAAATGAGCCCGCCAAGGGCTCAGCGGGTGCAGCAAGTAAAATACACAAGAAACAAAGAGCAAAGGCTCCCCGCCTTGTGCACGTAGAAAAAAGCCAACTCGGCATGGCCGGAGGCACAGGTGTGCATTCTGGCCGAGCTGCACCCTGAGCCCTCCCGGAGGCAGTCAGCTGAGGGGAGAAAGTCAGATAATCTGAGAGAAAAAAGTAACAAGACCCAGCAGGGACACACAGAGAGCAAAGAACGAAACTGTAACTCTGATCACATCAACGCATAATCACACTGCTGAGAAGACAGACTGCCAGACCGGACTTGCAATTCACTTTAAATGTGATCCCATAATTAGGAAAAGATGAGTTGGCTGCAGGCCAGCCCCGTCTGTGATCCTAGCTACTTGGGAGGCAGAGGTTGGGGACTGCAGCTCGAGGCCAACCAGGGTAAAAAGTTACTCCTTCTCAAGAACACAAGCCAAACATAGAGGCACATTCCTATAATCCCAGCTCTGCAGGAAGACTTAGGTAGGAAGATCTCCCAAGATTCCTATCTTAAAAAAAGATATGGAGGGGCTGGGAAGGTGGCTCAGTGGTAGAGCGCTTGCCTTGCATGCCTGAGGCCCTGGGTTCGATTCCTCAGCACCATATAAGCAAAAAGAAAAAACCCGGAAGTGGTGCTGTGGCTCAAGTGGTAGAGCGCTAGCCTTGAGCTGAAGAGCTGAGGGACAGCGCCCAGGCCCAGAGTTCAGGCCCCACGACCAGACCCCCCCCCCCAAAAAAAAAAAAAAAGATATGGAAACTAAAGACTTAATTTTTTTCTTTTTCTGGTGATTCTGTATTCTTTGCCTTCTTATCCATGGTGTACTCATGTGCATCTTCCAAAGGGTGGTGGGAGGGCAGCGGGCAGCACACCGGGCAGCGTGGAGCCGGGAGAGAGTGCAGAAGACACCGCACGAAAGGAACCGCGCTTACCAGACGCACAGAGCCACTCCACAGCTCCTCTATGATAACAATGAAGTACGCTGTTTTAAAACTACAAGAGCAAATGTTTAAAACAAAAGAAAAAAACAAGTAAGAAACAGCTGGGGATGGGTCTCAGGGGGTGGAGGGCCCCAAGTCCCAACCCCGGCGCTGGAGGGGGAGAAAGAAAAGAAATAAAAGCGGGGAAGGCAATGAAAAGAAATCAGAACACCAATAGTACAGAGGGTGCAGAGGTTGAAAGCTCTTCTCCCCAGAGAGCAGCAGGCACAGAGGACTTGGCAGGCGAATTCTACTGAGTGCTCAGAAACAGCGCGTCCTAGAAAGCCAACAGTAACATGTCCTGTAATGTCGACTGCCCGGGAGCCACGGGAGCGTGGCTGGAGGCCAGCTGATAGAGAAGTTGGCCTGTGAGCGGGTGAGAGAGTTCACAGTCAGCCTGGGCTACATACCAAGACGCTGCCCCGCCAAAAAGGGACAATAACCATTTGAGGCTCAAATCACCCGGACAGCAAAGCCAGACGAGATGTGGCATGAAGGGAAACCAAAGATTCAACTCATTCATGAGTACCAAGACAGGACTGGAAGCAGGAGGTATGGGTGCAAGTGGGCATGTGCCCACGCACGCTTACACACAAGGGCGCGCGCGTGTGTGTGTGCACAGATGGACACATAGTCTGCCCTCCATATCCATGGGTTGGAATCAGCCCACCACTGATGGAATAAATAGAAGAGTCAAGTGGCAGCCGTCCACACTCCTTGTGCCCCCCAGCACTCCAGCACACATCCTGCCGGCCAGCGGGAAGGGCTCTTTTTCTTTTTTATGTCAGTCGTGAGGCCTGAACTCTGGGCCTGGGCGCTGTCCCTCAGCTCTTCAGCTCAAGGCCAGTGCTCTACCACTTGAGCCACAGCACCACTTCCGGCTTTTTTCTTTTTGCTTATGTGGTGCTGAGGAATCGAACCCAGGGCCTCAGGCATGCAAGGCAAGCGCTCTACCACTGAGCCACCTTCCCAGCCCACTTTTTTTTTTTTGGTCAGTCATGGGGCTTGAACTCTGGCCTGGGCGCTCTCCCTGAGCTCTTCAGTTCAAGGCCAGCACTCTACCACTTGAGCCACAGCGCCACTTCTGTGTGAGGGGCTCTTGATGGACACCTGTAGACTCTGCCTGCCGCCCAGGCCTGGGCTGCACACCTGCAGTGCACACACATGCAGGCATGTATGCACACGCTCACACGCTCCGTGTTGTGAAGATGGGGGTCTGGGGCAGAGGGGCCTGTGAGGTGTCTGGGATGTGTGCCCCATGTGTGCACACGCTCACACGCTCCGTGTTGTGTACCTGGCGTCTGGGATGGTGCTGCAGCCCTGGCCGGGCCTCAGCGCATCACGGTGGCAACTGGTCCAAGACGCAGAAGCCGTCAAAGCCCGGCCGGCCCTGCCTGCTGCTGTTCCGTGTGGCGCCAGCACACGCCATCTCACCCAGTACGTCAGAGGCCTCGTCTCTGGTTTCCATCTGAGCCAACTCCAACGCCGATGCCTCTGCCTCAAAGAGGAAGCTGCACACGCACACACACACACACATACACACACACATGCACACACACACACACACATGCACACAACTCCAACGCCGACGCCTCTGCCTCAAAGAGGAAGCTGCACACGCACACACACACATACACACACATACACACACACATGCACACAACTCCAACGCCGGTGCCTCTGCCTCCAAGAGGAAGCTGCACGCGTGCGCGCACACACTTCAAAGCAACTGCCACTGCAGCGCCTGGCACTTGCCCACCGCCCAGAGCCTCGGCGGGTGCCATCCACAGCCGCCCAGCTCGGCTGGACTGTCCGCCGGCCCTGGCAGAGCTAAGCCACACAGGGAGGAAGACCTCGGGCCGCGTCTGTGGGGGCTACTGGGACAGCCACCCTCCCCCCCCCTGCGTGTCCTGAGGGACGTGCCACCCAGGCTGGGCCCCAGCTCATGTATGGGGCCGCAGCCGCCGAGGCCTCTGCCTGGGGCAGGACCACGCTGGGTGCCTGTCCTTCCTGCTTTCTCCCCCGGGTGGCAGGGCCTCTGGACTGGAGGCAGCCGGGCCACTGGCACCATCCCCAAGCTGCGGAGACAGGCAGACGGGTCGGGCGTGAAAGCACACACTGAAGGCTGGATGCGGGCACCCTGGGCCGGCGCTGCGGGAGGCAGTGTGGTATTTCTTTGCACACTCAGCCTCTCCACCCTGCAGAAGGTTCGGCTCCAGAGGTCATGACCGAGTATCACCCCTGCCAGATGCAAGGAAGGGTGCCCTGCAGTCCTCCCACCCGCCCGGGGAGGAGTGGCCCAGCGCAGAGCCAAGGCCACTGGACCAACTCACACCAGACCACGGACAAACACCACAGAACACTCAAAGCCCGGAACAGCATACAACGTGGGCCAGAGACCTGACCGCTGACCTCCTGCCAGCTTCTGCTGTGACAAGCCATGGGACCTGACTGCTCTATCACCATCACCAAACTGCTGAGTTCATTACATCTCAGCAGCCACGTGGACTTCCACATCCAATCCATCTCCTTAGTCCTGCCACGGACTACAGCCAAGAACCTGAGTCCCCGAGACAGCGAGGAGGCGGGGCGGGCCTCGGGACGCGCTGCACAGCTCCCGCAGCGCGGCCTCTAATGCCCAGGCAGCTGCTTCAGGTTCCATACAATTAGATGAAAGCACAACAAAGAAAAACACTGCTGAGGGGAAATGCACAAGTTTATTTTTTGATACAGTAATTCACTTCCACCACAGAAGAGAGGTACTCTAGAGCTTTTCATTTAATAAATACAAATGAGTAAAAATACTTGGCTTTGTGGAGCCCACCTTGCCTCCTCCACCTCATGGGAGGCCTGCAGGCGCGTGCCCGTGGACACACGGCAGAGGTGCTGACCTGCAGGCGCGTGCCCGTGGACACACACACACACACGGCAGAGGTGCTGACCTGCAGGCGCGTGCCCGTGGACACACGGCAGAGGTGCTGACCTGCAGGCGCGTGCCCGTGGACACACACACACGGCAGAGGTGCTGACCTGCAGGCGCGTGCCCGTGGTCACACACACACGGCAGAGGTGCTGACCTGCAGGCGCGTGCCCGTGGTCACACACACACGGCAGAGGTGCTGACCTGCAGGCGCGTGCCCGTGGACACACGGCAGAGGTGCTGACCTGCAGGCGCGTGCCCGTGGACACACGGCAGAGGTGCTGACCTGCAGGCGCGTGCCCGTGGACACACACACACACACACACGGCAGAGGTGCTGACCTGCAGGCGCGTGCCCGTGGACACACACACACGGCAGAGGTGCTGACCTGCAGGCGCGTGCCCGTGGACACACGGCAGAGGTGCTGACCTGCAGGCGCGTGCCCGTGGACACACACACACACACACACGGCAGAGGTGCTGACCTGCAGGCGCGTGCCCGTGGACACACACACACGGCAGAGGTGCTGACCTGCAGGCGCGTGCCCGTGGACACACGGCAGAGGTGCTGACCTGCAGGCGCGTGCCCGTGGTCACACACACACGGCAGAGGTGCTGACCTGCAGGCGCGTGCCCGTGGTCACACACACACGGCAGAGGTGCTGACCTGCAGGCGCGTGCCCGTGGACACACACACACGGCAGAGGTGCTGACCTGCAGGCGCGTGCCCGTGGACACACACACGGCAGAGGTGCTGACCTGCAGGCGCGTGCCCGTGGACACACACACACGGCAGAGGTGCTGACCTGCAGGCGCGTGCCCGTGGTCACACACACACGGCAGAGGTGCTGGCCTGCAGGCGCGTGCCCGTGGTCACACACACACGGCAGAGGTGCTGACCTGCAGGCGCGTGCCCATGGTCAGCCTGCACACATGGCCAACACCAGCCGTTCTACTTTACAGAGAGGGCATCTTGTTTGTACCTGCAAATACTATTCTGGTTCAATGCCTCTGCTCTCTACCCTTCCAAACATCAGTCATGCTGAACTTCTCTTCTGAAAAACTGAATATGGAGCCCTGAACCAAGAATTAACACCATGAAATGTGAGGTTTTGGTATAAAAGGTGACTGCCTAACTAGCCACATTAGCAAAAAGAAGGAAAAAAGGTTCTGTGGAAGAAAACATATTGCCTGTCTCGGACTATGCCACACCATTTCACATAACCTGTTTGGAAAGGGCCAGGTGTCTGTGCGTGCGCGTGAAAGGTCTGTGTTGCCCGTGGGATTCTGGAGTCTGCTGCTGGACACCCATCAACATCACAGCCTCCCCAAGAGCTTCCCCAGCCTGGGGCCCAGGCCACGGCCACTATCTCGCCAGGGCCAGTTATCCATGCTGAGCAACAGCAGTGAATCCCACCCACTGCACGAAGGGTGACTGTGCCCAGGGCTCCACCCTGTGCAACCCCAGGGCACAGCACCCAGGTACAGGCCCCCTGGTCTGCAGAAGGCTCCCAGGCCTCTCTGCTGGAGCACCGGTAACTGAAGTGGCAAGCTCCCAACATCCAGCCAGAACGGCAGCGACAGCCTTCTGGCCCCATTCCTCACCAGCTGCCCGCAAAGCATCTCCCAAAAATCCTAGTGTGACAGTCGGTCATCTGCACAGCGCTCTCACCAGGCTGCTAGTAAACCACAAAATAAGAAAGGCCTTGTGGGGCACCGGGGGCCCCCAGAGCCTGAGGCCCCGCCTGCTGCTCCAGGCCCAGCCCCAAGTAGTCTTAAAAGGAGCATCGTTGTCACTGAGTGCATGACCTAAATCTGCAGCTCTCGGAGGAAGGAGTCGAGTCTCAGGGGCGCGAGGAGCCGGGAACCAGCCGTCCTGCGGCTGGGAGGGAGCCGGAGCCGGAGCCAGAGCCGGTGCTGGCGTGGCTGGGAGAGGTAGCGATGGGGCCTGGATGACCGACCCGAAGCCCTCAAGGAGGAACACTGTGAACTGCAGCATGCTCTGTGCCATTACTCTACACAAGTCACACAGCAGAAGAAAAGCCTGCTCGGGGTGGGAGGGGAGGAAGCGACAGGTGCTGTGGCTCTGCAGGCTGCCCGCTCGGGTGCCGGCGTGGTACTGGAGCAAAGCGCTGGACTGCTCCACAGGGCCTGCGTGTCTGTGTGCGTGCGGGGGGCGTGCCTCAGAGCCCCAGAGACTTCTGCACAATCTGCTTGGCAATCCTGTAGAACTGCTCGCGGTCATCCCGCCACATTTTGGAAGCATCCACGTTAGCTCCACTTTCATCGTTGGGCTCTGAAAGAGAAGGGAAGGTTCATGAACGAGGCTCTGAGTGTGAGCGGTGTGACAAGGGCCCCATTTGGAACCAGGGCCTCACGGGGAGTCCTGGAGGAGGAGTGGAGCTCCAAACACAAAGGGAGGAGGCCCCTCTCAGACCAGTGGCTCCTCCCGCCAGCTACTGGGTCCCCCAAATTCTTCTCTTCCTACTCCGGGGACAGCTGCCTGGTGCTCACAAAGAAACAAGCCTAAACAGTGACACGAAGTGAGGACTCGCACCTTCATGTCCTTCCACTCCACCTCCGCACTGCCTTGGCGAGAGCATGCAAAGCCACCGGGCCCAGCTCCGCTCGGCCCCTCCCTGACCTCACACAGCCTGCTCCCCGACAGCCTCTAGCTGACCGAGCGCGCACCAAGGGCCGCGGCTCACAGCAGACGCCTCCTCTCCCTACCCTGGACCCTGTCACAAGGCTGGCATCAACAAACTCAGCTTCCTCTCACACGAACGCCTCTCCCCTCTCTTTCCTCCCTTTCTGCCTTCTAGGGCTGGCTCATGCCAGCACCATGCGAAACATCAAAGGCGCCACACTGGTCAGCCGCTGCTTGACCTGGTGAGTCCTCGGGATATGGTGACCTCAACACTGGGGTCTCTTCTGCATGAGCTTTACTGTGACATCCACAGCAAATGTCAACGGAGTGAAGATCACGGTCAACCACATGCTCCGTGACTCAGCTCTCTTCATCCTGACCATTTTTCAAAGTACACTTACTTACACCTGGAAAAGTGCAGACAGGTAGCATGAATTGGATGCTGCGACCTTTGGGCAGGGATGGAGAACATGGGGGAGCACACAGGAAGGGGAGAAGTAACTCCTCTATTCAACACCTTAACAATAAAACTATGTTAGAAAATAAAAACACTGTGGATAGACTACAAAAAAGCAAAAGGAACTGTCAGGGACTGTCTGGATGGGCTACAGGAGCAGTGAGGAGCGGCGTGGGCCCGCAGGAGGGTCCTGGACCCTCGGCCCAACCTGCCGGCGTGCTGACCGACAGCAGCAGGGTCTTCTCCCCAGTTCTCCCCAGACTGTGGCCGTACCTGCCGGCATGCTGACCACCGACATCAGCAAGGTCTTCTCCCCAGACCCGGCCGTACCTGCCAGCATGCTGACCACCGACAGCAGGATCTTCTCCACACTCTGCACCGGGCTCCACCTCTCAGCACTGCTCTCGTAGCCCATGGGGTCGTCGCCAGGCGCGTGCAGGATGGAGATGCACACTCTCCCATCAGGGTAGACTGCAAAGCCAGAGGCAGCAGGTGAGCCCTCGAAGGGCTGCGCAAGGCGACCTGGCACTGGAGGAGGCTGCACAGACACAGACAAAGCCCGGAACCTGCACAGCGGGAGCAGGACCCTGGCGTAAGCAGCACGCGTCATGCGGCGAGGCCCAGTGGGGCCCGTGAGCGCAGGCTGGGCCTCCCAGCCCTCCTCACTGCAGCCCGGTGGGAGGACTCCGCCTTCTTAGGGGTTTCTTTAAAGCATTACCTCCAGAGGAGTGAACAAAAGATGACCTGCAAATGCCAGGATTACTTACAACACCTCAGAACAGATCTCTTTAGCCACCCCAAGTCCAACTGCATAAACAGACGCTTATGTGGCAGGGACAGAGGCAACTGGGATGACTTAAGCCCCATCTGAGGACTTAGCATCAGCACCACATGGGGCCAGGAGGCCCGATGCACGCCCAGCCCCCGCCCCCAGCCCTCGTCAGCTAGCACTCGCGACAAGACACCTGAAGTCAGGCACAGCCTGCTGGGGACACAGTGGAGTGGGGACCACAAACAGGAGGTTCAACACGCACACACACCCCCGGGGACCGAGGAGCAGAGGTCGCACTGACAGCGTGTCACTACCGATGACAATTTAGAATTTCAGGAGGCTCTAGAGGTGTGAGTAGTCTCATTTTAACATCTACCCCTTTCCCAGTTACCCAGGAACCTGACACCAGTTCTGGCTCAAGGCAGTTTGTGGAACCAGGTGGACACGTCCTGTGCCGCCCCTCACCCCTGTCCACCCATGTGGAGTCTCTGAACCACCTCTCCTCCCCCGAGGACCCCCCTCCGGAAGGGCCAAGGCGTCACGCCTCCCAGAGTCCCCATCTGGCTCCCATGCCTGCTGCCTTTCCTCCCATTCAAGCCCGCCCATGGCCCCACACCCACTCAAGCCAAACTGCCCCTCACCAGGGCCCCAGCTAGCTTCCCGCCAGCTGCTCTGCACCACAGAGTGGTGCTCCAGGGACCACTGAGGCACAAGCTCCTCACGCCCACTGGACAGCCACAGTTGCGTGGGCAGGACATCTAATGGACCATGACCAACTGGTCATGCACTGCCCCACTCCATGAGGGCCTTGGCCCTACGCTCCGGCCCTGTCCAAAGGCAGGAGCAGAATCACGGGGCGACTCACTGTTGGGGTGGAACATCTCACAGGTGAACCTCATCTTGGGAGGGCTCAGCGGGTAGTCGAGCGGGAAACTCAGGACGGCAGGAAAAACTCCAAACTCAAAGCAGGTGTCTTCAGGGCCCCTGGAAGAAGGGAATCCACAGAGCGAGCTTCAAAGCGCACTGTGCAGTGCCCGCTACAGCTCACAGGTGGGACGGGGACACTGCACCAACCACACGCAAGGAGGAAGTAAGAAGTGGCTACTTTTCTGAATGCAAAGAATGTCTCCTGGGGCTGGGAAGGTGGCTCAGTGGTAGAGCGCTTGCCTTGCATGCATGAGGCCCTGGGTTCGATTCCTCAGCACCACATAAGCAAAAAGAAAAAAAAAGCCGGAAGTGGTGCTGTGGCTCAAGTGGTAGAGCGCTAGTCTTGAGCTGAAGAGCTGAGGAACAGCGCCCAGGCCCAGAGTTCAGACCCTACAACCAGGCCAAAAAAAAAAAAAAGACAATGTCTCGTCCCGTGCTAGCTAGTTTAAATCTTAGCCTCAACACCAAGGCTGAAGCTCAGATGTTTCCTGCATCAGTCAAGGCAGGCTTGGGGCAAGAGCAGAGGAAGGAACCCACGCCACGCAGGGCCCAGGGGCCTGTCTGCATCGTGGAAAGGCTCCGTGAGTCTATACGTAAGAAGGGGCAGAGGTAAGCCAGCCTGTGACCTGTGCTACGCGGGGCTAAAAGCTCTTGTAACTTCAAGCAGATGAAGTACATGATTCCTGAATTGCGCCTGCTCAGCAGTTAAGGCCAGCCAGGCCCAGAGCAGAGCCTCAGCTGCATCTGCAGCGACTACAAACGCCTAGCCTCAGATATACCCCCTTCACGACCCCCTTCCCGTGCCCCCCTCAAATGCCCCCTCACAGCTTTTTTAGGCGGGGCCACAGCCTTTTAAGTGGAGCAACTACGCACATGTCCCTTTTTTTTTTTGGGGGGGGGGGTCCAGTCGAGGGGCCTGAACTCTGGGCCTGGGCGCTGTCCCTCAGCTCTTCAGCTCAAGGCGAGCGCTCTACCACTTGAGCTACAGCGCCACTTCCAGTTTTCTGGTGGTTTATTGGAGATAGGAGTCTTACGGCCTCTTCTGCCCGGGCTGGTTTTGAACCTCGATCCTCAGATCTCAGCCTCCTGAGTAGCTAGGATTACAGACGTGAGCCACCAGCACCCGGCTTGGAGATGCTTTTTAAACAGCTTTGCCTCCCTTTAAGACAGACTACTCCAGAGTTCTCTGGACCCACAGATGGAACTGCTAACATAAATGCCTCCGATACAAATCCAAGATACTCCACGTGAAAAATTAAGAAATACTGACTAGCTGAGCACTGGTGATCCATGCCTGTAATCCTAGCTACTTTGACTGAAATCAGAGGATCAAAGTTTGAAGTCAAACTGGGCGGACAAATCCGAGCTCATTTTTCAATTAACTAGCCGAAAGCTGGAGCTGGAAGTATGGCTCAGAGCACAGGCCATGAAAAAGACAAGAGTAAGGGACCCCAAGTTCGAGCCTCAGTACTATCACAAAAAGAGAGAGGAAGAGGAAGAGGGGGAGAAAGAATAGGGGGAAGAAGAGGAATGAGGGAGAAGGGAGGGGAGAGGGAGGAAAGAAAAGGGGAAGAAATAATACTGTTTCTAGCTAGGAGCCAGGGGCATGATACCTGTACTCCCAGCTACTTGGCAGAGAAGACTATGGTTCAAGCCAAGCCCCCCAAAAGTTCAAGAGCCCCACCCCAACCAATAGGTGCACACTTGTCATCCCAGCTGCTCAGGAAGCTGAGTCGGAGAGAATCACGGTCAGGCCAACCCAGGTTAAAAACAAATTCTGGGGACTAGGCAGGTGGCTCAGTGGTAGAGTGCTTGCTTTGCATGCATGAGGACCTGGGTTCGATTCCTCAGCACCACCTAAAGCAGAAAAAGCCAGAAGAGGTACTGTGGCTCAAGTGGTAGAGTGCTTGCCTTGAGCTGGAGAGCTGAGGGACAGCGCCCAGGCCCAGAGTTCAAGCCTCACAACTGACAACAAAAAAAAAAAGCACAAACTTATTCAAAGTTTTAATGAAATTATTTTGATTCAGTGCTATTAATATTAATCTGCAAACCAAAGAGTATTTGTTTCTACAACTAAGAGAAACAAGAGTGAAGTTTGAGTCCTGTTGCTGTCATGGTAACAACGCTGTTCTATAAAGCCACGTTTGTTCAACCTCAATGACTCTGCAAACTGTTGCCCACGTTTTGGGGAAGGACAGTGAATAGCTCCTTTGTGTGGAGATGGCAGGCTGTGTGGCAGTCCCCCGGAGCTCCGGCATGCGGCTGGGCGGTGGCACAGCTGCTGGGCAGGGGGCGGGCTGCCTGGGAGCCACGTGGGCCTGAGGCATCCTCCTCATCCTACAGCAGCCTGGGCGAGCACCACGAGCGGGCAGGGCAGCCCTCCGTGCCCTCACGGCGCGGGTCACGCTGCACAAGGCTGCTGGGAGGACCGCAGGACTGAGCCAAGGCCTAAGCCAGCTTGGTTTGGGAGCTCACACTGCCAAGCCAGGCGGTCCACACACAGGCGCACGCCCAGGAACAGCGCCAGGAGGTCAGGGACACCGCAGCGCCCCATGCTTCTGGCACCTCCAGGACAGGTTGGGTAGTCTTTGGAAAGAGCCAACTTTGATAACAGGCCTTTGTTTCTCATAATGGGGCTTTCTTTAAATTAAAAAAATATGTATCACTGAGTTATTCACAGCCTCAAAAGCATGACCAAACACTTCCTAGAGGGCACCCACATGTGCACCATCCCAACTATTTGTGAATGCTCCAGCTCACTACTGGTTTGAACTGGGGCTCCTTTCCCTTTTCCAGAGTGCCCGTGCCTGGACAGGTGTGCGGGTGGGCACATGTGCGGGTGGGCACATGTGCAGTGGCGTGCCAGCTGGCTGTGGGACGCGCCCCTGCCAGGGCTCCTGCCCTGGGAGGGGGAGGCACCACGCAGGGGCTTGTGGGTAAGTTTTCCTGACACACATCTGGACCACATCTCCCTTCAGAGAGATCTTCAAAACAAGGAAGGAAATGCAACTGATTTAGGCAAAGCAAGGACAAATTTTTTCGAAGCCTACACAAGACTTCACGCCTTTCGGGGTTATAAGGTCAGGAATGGGACAGGCAGAGCAAGGCACTCCGGCCCCAGTCACCTCTGCACAGGAAGGTCACTTGTAAGTACTCCAGACATAGCCACTGCCTAACCGCCTGACGCCTGGTCCTCCAGAGCCCAGTGAGACAACTGCTCGGGGGTCACTGCTCAGGAAAACACATGCCAAGCTCAACCTCAACCCAGACTTGCCTTCCACTTCCACAACCCAGACTTGCCTTCCACTTCCACAACCCAGACTTGCCTTCCACTTCCACAACCCAGACTTGCCTTCCACTTCCTCAACCCAGACTTGCCTTCCACTTCCACAACCCAGACTTGCCTTCCACTTCCACAACCCAGACTTGCCTTCCACTTCCACAACCCAGGCTTGCCTTCCACTTCCACAACCCAGGCTTGCCTTCCACTTCCACAACCCAGGCTTGCCTTCCACTTCCTCAACCCAGACTTGCCTTCCACTTCCTCAACCCAGACTTGCCTTCCACTTCCACAACCCAGACTTGCCTTCCACTTCCACAACCCAGGCTTGCCTTCCACTTCCACAACCCAGACTTGCCTTCCACTTCCACAACCCAGACTTGCCTTCCACTTCCACAACCCAGACTTGCCTTCCACTTCCACAACCCAGACTTGCCTTCCACTTCCACAACCCAGACTTGCCTTCCACTTCCACAACCCAGACTTGCCTTCCACTTCCACAACCCAGACTTGCCTTCCACTTCCACAACCCAGGCTTGCCTTCCACTTCCACAACCCAGGCTTGCCTTCCACTTCCACAACCCAGACTTGCCTTCCACTTCCACAACCCAGACTTGCCTTCCACTTCCACAACCCAGGCTTGCCTTCCACTTCCACAACCCAGACTTGCCTTCCACTTCCACAACCCAGACTTGCCTTCCACTTCCACAACCCAGACTTGCCTTCCACTTCCACAACCCAGACTTGCCTTCCACTTCCACAACCCAGGCTTGCCTTCCACTTCTCTAGAGGAGATGCCCGGAGGTGGAGGCGAGCGGCGTGGCACGCTCGCAGCACTGCAGTGGCATCCGCGGCAGGCTCACGCGTCTACGAACCAACACCTGACACAGGTCTGAGGCGGCGCTGGAGGGCAGGTGGGCATGAGTGCACTCTGTACACACAGAACAGAAACTGTAGCGGGGGCCCAGGGGGAACAGCTCTCCCCCTCGCAGGCAGGCCGGAAGCCTCCCTCCGCCCAGCTCCGCGTGCTGGCCATCTGCCTCTCTGCGGGGCCACAGGGAGGCTGGCCACCCTGTGGGACCAGGAGCCAGGCGGCAGAGCCGGTGAGAAACCCCAGGGAGGCTGGCAGGACAGCTGGCCTGGTACACCAGTGTCTCGGGTGCTGAAGGCGTGGCTGCTGGGGGGCTGGTGGTGCCGCCAGCCTTGTGGATGGGCGTTCAAGGCTGAATGGTGGCTTGGGAGGAGGGTCAGGTTGGGGCTGGAGGAAGCAGGCCTGTGCAGGCCGCTCCTGAAGCGCATGCCAGGGGCCGTCCACCCAGCCCCTTTCCTCCCGCACGCAGGTGGGCACAGGAGGTGTGCAGCCGGCCGCACCACGAGCCCCTGCGCCCTGGCACTCTGCCTGCTCTCAGGCTCAGGAACAATGGGACCTGGGACTCACAGACTAGAACCGCCAGAACCACAGGCCAAAGTCTTCCCTCCTCTTACCCTGGTTTTCTCAGCTACTTGTCACAGCTATGGGAAGCTGGCCAAAAGAACACACAGACACAAGGCCCGACATCTACAAAAGCCTGAGTCTGTACTGCTTGGCCTGCGAGTCAGGGCTGCCGTGGGCCCTCAGAGCCAGCACCAGCCTCTTCCTGCAGCAAGTGAAATGCTCAGAAACGAGGGCCGCAGGGGCCCACGGAGACCAAAGGAAAACGGAGCAAAGAGGCCTCCGGGCTGGCCTGTGAGAAGCCAGCCCAGCCAGCTGCCCGCCGGGCAGCAGGGTGAGACAGCTCGGCGGAGGACAGCTAATTCCCAAGTAGATGCTTTAAGTACGTTTGCAAACGGCCTCTTGTTTGTGAAGGGTCTGGAACAGGACCAAAACCCACAAAGTCACCAGATCTTGAAACAGGGGAATTCCACACTCACGCAAAAGCCTTACTCAAACACAAACTTGCTCTCCCTAAAACCAGCTCTATTTACTTTTTAAGGCAGGTTTTCAAAATATTGGTTTAGTTTTATACTGTTTGTCCAAAATTAGTAATCGTTACTCTAACAGATTGTTAAAAATGAACAGCTGTGTAAAAACCACACTGGAGGCTCAGCTGTTCTTCACGGAGCTTCTAAGTGCACCTGCCACAGGTGGGCAGGAACTAACACTGTGCAAGCCCGGCAGACACCCTGACCACTGTACAGGCACATACAACACGCACACAGGCAAAGCAGGCAACTGCTTGCACGCAACAGTGAGCAGGTGTGTCCGGGCTGACACAGGACCCCGGGCTCTAGGACGTGGCTCAGAGGTGGAAGGCTCGCTTGCTTGCCCACATCAGATCCCCAGAACTACATGCTTCCGACAGGCAAGGCCACCCCACAGACCGGCAGGTCAGCCCGACACGGTCACCCATCAGCCCACAACTGTCTCCCGTGTGGGACACGACACCTGTCCTGTCCCCCAGATCTGTGGGGGACAGGTCACTGTCTGACAATGCTACATGCAAAATTCCAAAAATAAACAAGCTTCAAGTAACTTTTATTACAGAATATTGATTGCTAACTGCTCCATTTTGTAGTAACTGGTAGCTATTGTTAATCTCTCACTGTGGCTAACATACAATTAATTCCATTTTATGTTAGGGACACATATAGAAGAAAACAGACAGTCCTTATGGGACTCAGTACACCTACGGTCTAGCCATCACCAAGCTTTCACTGTACCACATTAGACACAACAGATCCCAGAAATCCTTACACACACACAAAAATCATGTGTCATAGTGCAAGTAATAAGGGTCTGACAAATTACCATGAGATTAGGCCCTAGCTCTTTCTCTACATAGTATTTATTGATGACTTTTTTACTTTTTATTCATCGTTTTTCAAAAATATACTATCAAGGAAATCCTCATGTGAAGTTTAGAAAATAAAGAAAATCCTCAAGTAGGGTGCTGGTGCTCATGCCTGCAATCCTAGCTACTCAGGGGGCTGAGATCTAAGGATCACAGTTCAAAGCCAGCCCAGGCAGGAAAGTCCGTGAAACTTTTTTTCGGGGGGGGGGGGGGGCGGAGGGGTAGTCCTGGGCTTGAACTCTGGGCCTAGATGCTGACATGGGACAGGGACCAGTTTCTCCAGTCACAGATTCCACGGGACCAGCCTGGGGTCAGAAGACACACCTGGCTCCATCTCAGAGTCAGAGGTAATGGGCCAGAGCCTTAGGCCACGTGTCGTCACAGCCTAACCATCCATCCAGGGTTGGGTCCAGGCAGATAAGATCAGAACTGGATGGGACTAGAAGACCCAGAATCAGCTGCAGAATTGACTGCTCGCTGACAAGCAGAAACTTCATGCTTTGGGGGTCAGTTTTCTGTGCTGACTTCACTGAAAGATCAGAATGAAAAATAAGCACTTCATTTCCTTCCTAACAGAACCATGCAGCATAAAAAAATTACCACCTTGAAACTCTATAACTACACAAATACTTAAGTAAATCTTGTATTGGTCCTAAGAAAACAGTGTCGTTTCTTTTGGATCCACATTCCTGTTTTCTGCCTGGATTAGAGCAGACTGCATCAAGACCCTGCTTCCCACCAGGGCGGGGCTTCAGCGCGCCTCACTGCCAGGTGTGACTATCGGGGGCGGGGTTTCAGGGACTGATATCCAGGAAAGCTCTAAAAACCAGTATAGTCAACTTACATGATCAATGCCTCCCACTCAAAAAAATTCTCTTCATTCATGGGGCCTGTAGGGAAAGAAAAAAATAAGAACAGCTTACCCTTGAAGGCAAATTTGACAGTAAGAAGATCACAAAGAAGCCACCCAAGTCCCTTACCTGCCACAATCCCTTCAGGAGGATTCAGCGTTAACTCTACGAAGGCAAAACAGAAGGGTTACCGTGTCACTCGAGCCAACACTTTACAAGGATACAAGCTATAAATCAGAAAACAAGGGCTCAAGTTTAAAAAGGGACAATTCTGTTTGTCCCAAATGAATACCCATTCCAGAGAATACTGGTAAAGAGACCATATGGATACTTCTTTACACCTCTCACACTTCACAAATGAAAAAAACTAAACAGGGATAAGCTATCTCTCCAAAATATTCCTACCACTTACTTGGATTTCAAGTCTGAAAACATAAAGCAGGGTATTATTTTCCAATTAAATTCTATTTCCTATCATTTAATAAGTTGGCACAGACCTTTCCGAATGTCACAAAGAAATGTAAACCAGTGCTGAAGCTGCAAAGCTTGACATTTTAAGAGACGGGCTGCTGATTTTTAACACCACTCTGTAAAATCTGATCTCTTTAGAGTATCAGACACCAGCACTGAAAACAGATACAGAGGAGAAACAGAAAGAGAGGCCTGATGCATTTCCCAGCAACCTATGATGGGTAACTGTTGAGAACTTAAGGCAAAGCTCTGCCACCAGAAAGCAGCCACAGGCGGCCTTTGACTTCTGGGCCTCGCTGGGTCCTTTATCTGTGCTCCAGCTTGGACATGGGTCAGAGCTGGAATGCGGCAGCCTCACAGGAGGCCTGTGGACTGTTCTCAGGAGAGGGAGCTGGGTAAGGAGCACACCTGCCCTCCTTCTGGCTCTGGTTTCCTACTCCAGATTGGATCTTGGCCTCAGAGGAAACATCCTGCCACGGCCATGTCCACGCTACGGGAAGCACTCTGAGGCACACAGTCCTGAACGCCGACCCGCAAAGGAGAGCTAGCACAAAGTTAGCAACCTCAGGTTCTGTGCAGCACAAGACTCCAAAGAGAAGCAAGGCCATAGATACATCCACTGGAACTGCAATCCACAGGAGCAAACAGCAAGTCTGGCAGAAGGGCTCAGACACTTAAAGATTCTGGAACACTAAGGACTTAGGGAAGCCCAGATTTATGAATTAGGGATGCATGCCTGTAGTTAAAAAGCAAATCAAACACTGCCAAAAATCAAGGAGAGGGGAGGGGATGGCAAAAGAGCACAAGAAAAAAAAAGATTTTGTTTAGTGCCAGTCCTGGCGTTTGAACTCGGCTGTGGGCACGGTCCCTAAGCATTGTTTAGTGCCAGTCCTGGCGTTTGAACTCGGCTGTGGACACGGTCCCTAAGCATTGTTTAGTACCAGTCCTGGTGTTTGAACTTGGCTGTGGGCACGGTCCCTAAGCATTTTTGCCCAAGGCTGGCACTCTTGTACTTGAGCCACAGCTCCGCTTCTGGCTTTTTGCTGGTTTAATGGAGATAAGAGTCTCACAAGTCTCATAGACTTTCCTGCATGGGCTAACTTTGAATTGTCAGATCTCAGCTTCCTGAGTAGCTGGGATTACGGGTGTGAGCCACTAGTGGCTGGCTACAAGAGCTCTTTTGTAAGGGACAATAGAAATGTTCTATAGATTGTAATTATGGCTACGGTGTATTTGAGCCAGACAGCAGTGGCTCACACCTGTAATCCCAGTTATTCAGGAGTCTGAAGTGTCATGGATCTGGAGTGTCATGGTTTGAGGCCAGCCTGGGCAGAAGAGTTCACTGGACTTTACCTCCAAAGTAACCAGCAAAAAACAAGGCTAGAAGCCAAGCACCAGTGGCTCATGCCTGTAATCCTAGCTACTCAAGAGGCTGAGATCTGAGGATCGCAGTTCAAAGCCATCCAGGGCAGGAAAGTCCATGAGACCCTTATCGCCAAGAAACCACTAGAAAACCAGAAGTGGTGCTGTGGCTCAAGCAGTAGAGCGATCCCCTTGAGCTGAAGAGCACAGGGTCAGCGCCCAGGCCCAGAGTTCAAGCCCTATGACCGACCGGGAAAAAAAAAAAAAAAAAAAAAAAAGCCAACAGCTCCCTGATGTAAGGAACAAGGTCCATAAGAGAGCCAGGTGCGCTCAGCAAGGCTGTGCTACAGAGTGGGGACAGGGAGACACAGAGGAGGTGCCAGGGAAGTGGACGCACAGAAGTGGGGGGCTGGCGTCCACCACACTCAAACATCCTGGAGCGAGGAAGGGGGGAGCTCCGGGACGGAGGACCAGCACTGGGACGCCGGTACAAGGTCGACTACAGCTCTTAGGTTTGGCTAGGCGCACCCTGGCGAGCCCCCGCGTCTCTTCACAGGAGCAGATGGGAAGAAGTAACAGAAACTTGTCAGGCTTCATAAATCCATTCATCTGAAATCTAGTCCAGTGTTTGTGTCTAAAACCAAATCATCCCATTGTGAGAAACAGTAACAGGTTAAGGCAGAGGGAGTGTCAACTGCTCAATGTGGGGAAGGAGGAGCAGCAGCTCCAGCAAGCACACAGAGGAAGGTGACTTAGAGCGAGTGTCCACAGAGTCCTAACCACTGCTTTCCTGCGACCATAAAAGGGGACACCAAAAACCTGGCTTGTTTAGCTGGGGTTCCCCTTAGGAACTTCCCAGTGACAACCCCTCCCAGAAGGGGGGCTTGAAATCTCCTGGGGGAGGAAGGGGCCATCGGACACCACACCCACACCAATTCTAGAAACCCAAGCTCTCCTGCTTTGCTACCCAACAGCACCATCTGCTGGTCACTGGAGGTCCTCAGAAAAGGCTTCACACCAGTTCATGTTTGCAGACAAATGCAAGTTTCAAAGAGAAACTGATATGAACATGTCAGAAACTTCTCAAAAGACTATTCCTTGCCACCAATTCCTTGCGAATGTTGTTTAAAAATTCTTCTTCTGCATTCTTCTTGTGACCCCAGCTACTGAGGCCGAGGTGGTGTCCTGCAGCCCTGAGCACCTATGCCCTGGAACAGAATGACGTCCAGGACACTAAGGTGGAAACTGGCAACTGGCACGAGGTCCCCGGGCTGGACTGACGTAACACGCCTGCTCTCCTCGTCAGAGGAGAGGTGAGCCCTGGTCACATCGTCCACTTTACCCAGGACTTCCAGGCAAGTTTATGTGGTTTAAGCCATCTGGGCCAGTAGCCCTAGCAACTAAATCAATGCTGAACATCTGCAAATATGCAAAACACCCTGACCTTAACCTCCAAAACTTTATTTAACATAGGTCACAGATCTAAAACTACAAAACATGTAGAAGAAATCACAAGAGAAAACCTTAGTGAACTTATACCTGGGAACACACAAGGAAATTTGACAAACAGGACTTGAGAAACATAGGACTCCTACTTAATTTGTTGTATCACTTCCGGATGACTCCATGTTCTTGACCTCATATATGGTATATACATGTGCATACCTGAGGACAGCTAGGAGGAGGGCACAGAATCAGAGGGAAGGGGGGGGGAACAACAGAGAAGTTGTCGAAGGAATTAAAGGAATGTGAGCTAAAGGTGTGACTCAATGGTAGAGCCTGCCCAGCAAGTGGGACAAGTTCAAACCCTAGTACTGAAAGAAAAAAAAAGATGCTAATTTGAAATGATGCCCAACATCGTTCATCCTCAGGAAATCCAAAACCAGAGCCCCGCAGACGGCCAAGGCTGTAAAGCTGCAGGTACCAAGCGCAGCAGGGGCCAGCACGCAAACAGCGCAGTGACGAGGCAGAGAGCTCAGCAAGAGAAATCAAAGTTTCCAAAGAAACTGTTCACAGCGGGCCTGCGTGCACCCCCCTCCAGGCGCCCTTCCCGGAGTGGGGGGAAAACAGCACACCAAGGCTGCAAAGACAAAACACAAGCAGAGACAAAGTAATGCACCCAAGACTGGAGGCAGAAAAGAACTCCTACAGTCCACAAGGAAAGACCAGCAAGCCCGCATACAACTGCCCAGATTGAGACAGACGCCTCACCAGGAAGGACACAGTGGCTCCAGGCCCACTCATCACCACCACCCAGACCCCACGTCCCACCAGCAAATCAAGTGCCTGCAGACCTCCTAGATGTGAAGCGGCCAGGGAAAGCTTCAGCTGCTGCTGACAGAAGCTCCAGGAAAGCTGGTGTGGGAGGCTCGGGGTCCAAATTACACTCCAGACAGGTACCCAGCACCTGCGCCTCTAGAGAGCTCAACAATGTCCACAGCAGCAATATTTACAAAAACTGAGAACTGCAAATGCCCTAGAGGCCCATCAATAATGAACAGATGGCTTTCTGCATATTCCCAGAAAGGAATTCACTAGGGAAATGAAATGCAGCAGTTACATGCTTCAAAAGAAACACACCTCAGCAACAGTGCTGAGCAAAAGACTCACTGTGGAAAAAGCACAATGTATAACTCCTATTAAGTTCACACACGAGCAAAGTAAACCACGGGCTGCATAGAAGTATGAGGTGGTGACTGTGAAAAGGGAAAGAATGATAGACAAAATTCAGAGTGTTGCAAATACCAGTAGGAAGAAAACAGATTTCTAAGACAGGGCTCCTGCCTGGCTTCACAGGAAGGGTGGGAGGGGCATCACTCAGCTTTCCAGACTCTAACAAAACGCCTGACACTTGCTCGGCCCTGAGGTTCCCGTACTTGACCATTTCTAGGGGACTTGGCAAGGGAGGACAGGGCCCTGTGCGGCGGAGGGGCGTGCAATGACCAGACCCCTCCTCTCACTCACATTCGGTGAACAGCTCTGGCCTGCTCCCACCAGGGAGTACTCCCACACCACAGGCCCAAAAGCAATGGTTCCAACCGACGCTGGGCAGAAACCTCCAAAACTGTGAGCCAAAATAAACCTGGTCTCTTTATTGTTGATGATCTCAAGTATCTGTTACAGTAGCCAAAAGCTAGCACAGCTGTTCGTTTGGTTTGAAGATACACCTTTTATATACACAATACACAACAAAATATTCAAACACCAAAGGGAAGGAATGACAGGGACACAGATATGGTGTTTCTCTCAGCAGGAAGGAGGCATGCGAGACAGTGCAGGGGCGTAGAGGACAGGACCAGGATGAGGGCCAGGCAGAGCATCGGGGCCCATCGCCCATCCACGCGGGACGTGCGATCTGACCCGAGCCTCTCAGGATGGGCCTGTCACGCTGACTAAAGGGACAGGCTCAAGTAGGACACCGGGCAGGACCCCGGCAGGAATCCAGGCCAGCGATGACGTGGCTTTGCTGACGCGGCGAGAGCTGTGGAGGAGGATGGAGATCAAGGTGAGATGCCGGCATCCTTCGGGCCGCAGCCTCCACAGTCCCCACAGCGGGAGAACTGGCCATCAGACCCCATGGGCTCACAGTCCCACAGCCCAGCCTCAGTGACACAAGTATACTGGGTCAACAGTGTCTCCCTGAAATCCAACTTGACAGAGATTCTGAACACAACCTTACTCAAAAATGGAGTCTTAGTGAGGTCATGTGCCCAGGTGTGCCCAAACCAGTGGCTGGCATCTTGAAGCGGTAAGCGTGAGCACCAACACAGGAAGGTGAAGGGGGGCGATGCAACAGAGGTGCAAGAGAGACTGCAGTCGCCGACCAAAGCTGAGGAGCAGCACCGACAGCCACAGCAGAGGCCGGGGGGGGGGGGGGCGCCAGACAGGCCGGGGAGCAGAGCCTGCACCCCTGGACTTCTGCCTCTGGTTCTGTGACGCTCCCTTTGTACCAGCAGCCCTGGGACCCCGACCCCTGGCGGTCTGCCAGGCACAGGCGGGTCCTCCCCTGTGCGGTCTACCTTCACACTGCAATAAAACACCGATGACAAACAACATAGATGCTAATAAACACCAAATGCAACATCATCGTGGTACCGGGACACAGAGAAATTCGTATTTTTTGGTACAGCTGTATTCCCTTTCTATCACTGCTGTCACAATGCAGTCGTCTTAGAACAATATTCATTGATGACATCGCAGTTCCACGAGTCAGTAATCTGGGCACAGCTCAGTTCCAAGTGGGTGTTAACCTGGAGTCTGCTGCTTGGACTGCCTGCCGGGCTGCTCCTGACCCCTCTCCCCGCTCTGGGGCGGCCACTGCAGGCAGCACCTCCTCAGACCCCAACCTCTCTGACCTCCTCTTCATCTTCAACTGCTTCTGGGTGTCCTGTGATTTCAGCTCCACTTGTTTGATTCAGGAGAACTTGCCCCCCTTCAGGTTGGCTGACTGGTAACTTAACTGTATTTTCCATCCCCCCTGCCTGTATCAGCAGTGCGAGGTGGGGACACATGGCCTGAGCTCTGGGTGACAGGGTAGAGGCTTCTGCCTTCCGTACGTACTTAGGATCTCAGAAAGTAGCACATAAGAACACACACAGCCCACTGTGACTCAGCTTTGGAAATTAATACTTAGGTTTTATTGGAGCAAATTGGTGAAAATAATGGAGGACAATATGGGGTGGGGCGGGTCAAAATTTCTGTCAGAGCAGTGTGGATGTTCCTCAAAAAACCAGGGGCTGGGAAGGCGGCTCAGGGGTAGAGCGCTTGCCTTGCATGCCTGAGGCCCCGGGTTCGATTCCTCAGCACCACATAAGCAGAAAAAACTGGAAGTGGCACTGTGGCTCAAGTGGTAGAGCGCTCGCCTTGAGCTGAAGAGCTGAGGGACAGCGCCCAGGCCCAGAGTTCAGGCCCCACGACCGGCCCAAAAGAAAAAAAAAAAAACTAAACACAGATCTTCCCTATGATCCAGCCATAGCATTCCCGGGCATCTACCCAGAGCCTCACCAGCCAGGTTACTGTAAAGAAAGACACGTGCACACCCATGTTCACTGCTGTACTATTCACAATAGCAAGTTATGGAGAGAGCCAGATGCCCTGCAACTGATGAGCAGATCAAAACAATGTGGTGCCCATACACAGTAGAACTGTACACAGCCACTGGACTATGGTGTCATTTGCAAGGAAGTGGATGGACCTAGAGCAAATAGTGTGCAATGAGGTAAGCCAAGCTCAGAGACAAACAGGCATGCTTTCTCTCCTATGTGGACATGATACATCACACCGGGCTCTAGGCATTCACACACAGTGGGACCGGAGGAGGACACTGAAGAGAGGAAGACAAAGGGGAAATGTCTCTGTGCACCTGAAGTCAAACGGCTTGGTGCGAGGTTCTGCTCTGCTTGTGTTTATGTCTTCGGGAATGCAAGGGGCGGCACAGGCAAGGAGGGGGAAGGAGGGGCAGCGAGGCGGCGGTCCGGACGCAGCTGACGCAGCTGAGCCCGTGTGCACCGTGTGCACCCCGCGGGGACCGGACGGACGGAGCCAGGGAGGGCGGCGCGTCCAAATAGAAGCGGGCTCCACCCGGCCTCGCCGGCTCCACGTCGCCATCCAGCAATGGACTTGGGGATCTGTCGGGTCTGCAGGGCTGACCCACGCTCCCCAGAAATGCCGCTCGCGGCGCGCGGGCCCCCAGGCCGTGAGGGAGGACGCGGGCCTGGGACCCGGGCCTGGGACCCTGACGCGGGCCTGGGACCCGGGCCTGGGACCCTGACGCGGGCCTGGGACCCGGGCCTGGGACCCTGAGGCGGACCTGGGACCCTGAGGCGGACCTGGGACCCTGACGCGGACCTGGGACCCGGACCTGAGACCCTGACGCGGACCTGGGACCCGGACCTGAGACCCTGACGCGGACCTGGGACCCTGACGCGGACCTGGGACCCTGACGCGGACCTGGGACCCGGACCTGAGACCCTGACGCGGACCTGGGACCCGGACCTGGGACGGGACGCGGGCCTGGGCCGGGGCCGGGGACGGGGCCGGGGCCGGGGACGGGGACGGGGCCGGGGCCGGGGCCGGGGACGGGGACGGGGACGGGGCCGGGGCCGGGGCCGGGGACGGGGACGGGGACGGGGACGTGGGCCTGGGACGGGGCCGGGGACGGGGACGGGGCCTGGGACGGGGACGGGGCCGGGGCCGGGGACGGGGCCGGGGACGGGGACGGGGACGGGGCCTGGGACGGGGACGGGGACGCGGGCCTGGGACGGGGACGGGGACGGGGCCGGGGCCGGGACCGGGGCCTGGGACGGGGACGGGGACGCGGGCCTGGGACGGGGCCTGGGACGGGGCCGGGGACGGGGACGGGGACGGGGACGGGGACGGGGACGGGGACGGGGCCGGGGACGGGGCCGGGGACGGGGACGGGGCCGGGGCCGGGGCCGGGGCCGGGGCCGGGGCCGGGGCGCTGCCGTCAGCCGCGCGTCAGGCGCCGGCGCGCGGCGCTTCCTTCCGCGGGCTCCGGCCCAACGGCCCGCGGACCCACCGAGCCCGGGGAGGCCCGCGCCGGCGCCGGGCGGGCGTCGGGCCGCGCCCCGGCCCCGGCCCCGCGCTCGAGCCCGGCCCCCGGCCCCCGGCCCCCGGCGGAGCCCGCGCCGCGGCCGCCCGCGAGCTCCGGGCGCCGTCCGTCCGTCCGTCGGGACTCACGTTTGTACTCGGCCATCAGCCTCTTGAGCGCCGTGCCCGCCATGTCCCGCCGCCGCCGCGCTGCGCCGCCGCCTGGCTTCCCGGCGCTCGCCCGCCCGCCGCCGACCCCGCTGCCGCCGACCGCTTCCGGGTCGCCGCTGCGGCCGGAAGTGCTTCTGGGGCGCGGCGTGGACGCCGGACGACGTGGCGCGCCCGAGGCGGGCCGGGGCCGGGGCGTCCGCCCCCGGACGTGGCCGTCAGACTCCGGCGTCGCCGCTCGGGCGGGGGAGGGGGCCGCTGCCCGGTTCTGGAATGTTCCCGAGGCGCCCCACGCGGGCCGCGGGCCGCGGTCGGCAGCCAGCCCGGGCCAGGACCACCGGACCCGGAAGTGGCGCCGGGCTCCGGCGGCCGAGCGCCGCGAGGCCCAGGCCCGCGACCGGCCCCGAGGTCGAGGCCGGGGCCGACGTGCGGGCCCGACGTGCGGGCCGGGCGGGCCTGGGTCATAAACACGCCGCCGCCCCGACCTGCCCGCACCAGGCCGGCCGCTGGGCCCTCGGCGGGCGGGTGGTGGGTGGGTGACACTCGGGGCCCGGCCCGCACCCAGGCCCTCGGCGGGTGGGTGGTGGGTGGGTGACACTCGGGGCCCGGCCCGCACCCAGGCCCTCGGCGGGCGGGTGGGTGACACTCGGGGCCCGGCCCGCACCAGGCCCTCGGCGGGCGGGTGGGTGACACTCGGGGCCCGGCCCGCACCAGGCCCTCGGCGGGCGGGTGGGTGACACTCGGGGCCCGGCCCGCACCAGGCCCTCGGCGGGCGGGTGGGTGACACTCGGGGCCCGGCCCGCACCAGGCCCTCGGCGGGCGGGTGGGTGACACTCGGGGCCCGGCCCGCACCAGGCCCTCGGCGGGCGGGTGGGTGACACTCGGGGCCCGGCCCGCACCAGGCCCTCGGCGGGCGGGTGGGTGACACTCGGGGCCCGGCCCGCACCAGGCCCTCGGCGGGCGGGTGGTGGGTGGGTGACACTCGGGGGCCCGGCCCGCACCCAGGCCCTCGGCGGGTGGGTGGTGGGTGGGTGACACTCGGGGCCCGGCCCGCACCCCGGCCCTCGGCGGGTGGGTGGTGGGTGGGTGACACTCGGGGGCCCGGCCCGCACCCAGGCCCTCGGCGGGCGGGTGGTGGGTGGGTGACACTCGGGGCCCGGCCCGCACCCAGGCCCTCGGCGGGTGGGTGGTGGGTGGGTGACACTCGGGGCCCGGCCCGCACCCAGGCCCTCGGCGGGCGGGTGGGTGACACTCGGGGCCCGGCCCGCACCAGGCCCTCGGCGGGCGGGTGGGTGACACTCGGGGCCCGGCCCGCACCAGGCCCTCGGCGGGCGGGTGGGTGACACTCGGGGCCCGGCCCGCACCAGGCCCTCGGCGGGCGGGTGGGTGACACTCGGGGCCCGGCCCGCACCAGGCCCTCGGCGGGCGGGTGGGTGACACTCGGGGCCCGGCCCGCACCAGGCCCTCGGCGGGCGGGTGGGTGACACTCGGGGCCCGGCCCGCACCAGGCCCTCGGCGGGCGGGTGGGTGACACTCGGGGCCCGGCCCGCACCAGGCCCTCGGCGGGCGGGTGGTGGGTGGGTGACACTCGGGGGCCCGGCCCGCACCCAGGCCCTCGGCGGGTGGGTGGTGGGTGGGTGACACTCGGGGCCCGGCCCGCACCCCGGCCCTCGGCGGGTGGGTGGTGGGTGGGTGACACTCGGGGGCCCGGCCCGCACCCAGGCCCTCGGCGGGTGGGTGGTGGGTGGGTGACACTCGGGGGCCCGGCCCGCACCCAGGCCCTCGGCGGGTGGGTGGGTGACACTCGGGGGCCCGGCCCGCACCAGGCCCTCGGCGGGCGGGTGGTGGGTGGGTGACACTCGGGGCCCGGCCCGCACCCAGGCCCTCGGCGGGTGGGTGGTGGGTGGGTGACACTCGGGGCCCGGCCCGCACCCAGGCCCTCGGCGGGCGGGTGGGTGACACTCGGGGCCCGGCCCGCACCAGGCCCTCGGCGGGCGGGTGGGTGACACTCGGGGCCCGGCCCGCACCAGGCCCTCGGCGGGCGGGTGGGTGACACTCGGGGCCCGGCCCGCACCAGGCCCTCGGCGGGCGGGTGGGTGACACTCGGGGCCCGGCCCGCACCAGGCCCTCGGCGGGCGGGTGGGTGACACTCGGGGCCCGGCCCGCACCAGGCCCTCGGCGGGCGGGTGGTGGGTGGGTGACACTCGGGGGCCCGGCCCGCACCCAGGCCCTCGGCGGGTGGGTGGTGGGTGGGTGACACTCGGGGCCCGGCCCGCACCCAGGCCCTCGGCGGGCGGGTGGGTGACACTCGGGGCCCGGCCCGCACCAGGCCCTCGGCGGGCGGGTGGGTGACACTCGGGGCCCGGCCCGCACCAGGCCCTCGGCGGGCGGGTGGGTGACACTCGGGGCCCGGCCCGCACCCAGGCCCTCGGCGGGTGGGTGGGTGACACTCGGGGGCCCGGCCCGCACCCAGGCCCTCGGCGGGTGGGTGGGTGACACTCGGGGGCCCGGCCCGCACCCAGGCCCTCGGCGGGCGGGTGGTGGGTGGGTGACACTCGGGGGCCCGGCCCGCACCCAGGCCCTCGGCGGGCGGGTGGTGGGTGGGTGACACTCGGGGGCCCGGCCCGCACCCCGGCCCTCGGCGGGTGGATGGGTGACACTCGGGGCCTGGCCCGCACCCAGGCCCTCGGCGGGTGGGTGGGTGACACTCGGGGGCCCGGCCCGCACCCAGGCCCTCGGCGGGTGGGTGGGTGACACTCGGGGCCCGGCCCGCACCCAGGCCCTCGGCGGGTGGGTGGGTGACACTCGGGGGCCCGGCCCGCACCCAGGCCCTCGGCGGGCAGGTGGTGGGTGGGTGACACTCGGGGCCTGGCCCGCACCCAGGCCCTCGGCGGGCGGGTGGGTGACACTCGGGGCCTGGCCCGCACCCAGGCCCTCGGCGGGCGGGTGGTGGGTGGGTGACACTCGGGGCCCGGCCCGCACCCAGGCCCTCGGCGGGCGGGTGGGTGACACTCGGGGCCTGGCCCGCACCCAGGCCCTCGGCGGGCGGGTGGTGGGTGGGTGACACTCGGGGGCCCGGCCCGCACCCAGGCCCTCGGCGGGCGGGTGGGTGACACTCGGGGCCTGGCCCGCACCCAGGCCCTCGGCGGGTGGGTGGGTGACACTCGGGGGCCCGGCCCGCACCCAGGCCCTCGGCCGGTGGGTGGGTGACACTCGGGGGCCCGGCCCGCACCCAGGCCCTCGGCGGGCGGGCGGGTGGGTGACACTCGGGGGCCCGGCCCGCACCCAGGCCCTCGGCGGGTGGGTGGGTGACACTCGGGGGCCCGGCCCGCACCCAGGCCCTCGGCGGGCGGGTGGGTGATACTCGGGGGCCCGGCCCGCACCCAGGCCCTCGGCGGGCGGGCGGGTGGGTGACACTCGGGGGCCCGGCCCGCACCCAGGCCCTCGGCGGGCGGGTGGGTGACACTCGGGGCCTGGCCCGCACCTAGGCCCTCGGCGGGTGGGTGGGTGACACTCGGGGGCCCGGCCCGCACCCAGGCCCTCGGCGGGTGGGTGGGTGACACTCGGGGGCCCGGCCCGCACCCAGGCCCTCGGCGGGTGGGTGGGTGACACTCGGGGGCCTGGCCCGCACCCCGGCCCTCGGCGGGTGGGTGGTGGGTGGGTGACACTCGGGGGCCCGGCCCGCACCCAGGCCCTCGGCGGGTGGGTGGGTGACACTCGGGGGCCCGGCCCGCACCCAGGCCCTCGGCGGGTGGGTGGGTGACACTCGGGGGCCCGGCCCGCACCAGGCCCTCGGCGGGTGGGTGGTGGGTGGGTGACACTCGGGGGCCTGGCCCGCACCAGGCCCTTGCGCTGGGCCCTCGGCGGGTGGTGGGTGACACTCGCGGGCCCCGCCGGCCCCAGGTGGCCCAGTTCGTGGCATCCCGCACTGCAGGCGCGCTGGGCAGCTGTTTCAGGAGCTGTTGGGTCACACTCACGCACACGCACCCCCGGGAGGCTGGGACGGCGTAGTCCGAGGGGTGACCAGTTGTGGAGGTGAATGGCATAGGCCCGTGCCTGGTAGCCAGGGTCCCTTGTCAGTTTCCTGTTTCCCCACAGCTGGGCTGTCCCTGTTTTGGTTCACACAGGATGCGCCGTTTGCACAAATCTCTGATAGTCTGCTTTCTGTAAGTGAAGCAGGAGTTCCTCCCTGGCTGTGGCAAGATAGCTGTCGTCCAGCTAAGGGAAACCACCCTCCAAATAACCAGGTTGGGGGGGGGGGGGCTCATGAAGGCGGTCCCCTGGCGCCTCCCTAACCCTCCTACCACTTCTGCGTTCCACTTCAGAAAAGGCTTGGTTCCATTAGGATCACGATGCTGGCCTTGAGACACAGAAGCTTCTCTCACTTCAAAGCATGGCTGCAGGGTCTCTCCCAAACACATCTTCCTCCCCAAGTTCATCTTTAGCTGGGCTAAGCCAAGCAACACACAGACCACCTGGTCCCAGGTCCCCTGGGTATGTATGCACACTAGCATGTACAAAGGTGAGTGGTGTGCACACCCCTGGGTATGTATGCACACTAGCATGTACAAAGGTGAGTGGTGTGCACACCCCTGGCCGCTGAACTGTGCAGCGTGAGACCAGCACACAGGACACCTATGACTGGAATGTGACACTTCCAGGGCAAAATGGGGCAATTCCTGCTGGGCCCTGTGCTGAGAAGAGTGAGTGGGCATCCAGGGAGCCACAGGACTTGGCACAGGGGTCTATGTAACCTAATACTTTAAAAAACACTAATGGCCAACACCTACTATTGCAGCTGTACAAATGCATACATTTCTTAGATGAAAGGTGACCTTTCTCCTGTTAGGCCTTGTGGGGCACGTGCGGTGCTCCTGCATGTGTGGAGCACTTCAGCCCTGTCGCCCAGCCACGGCCAGCACCCTCTCTCACTGGCTGGCTCTCTGCGGCCACCAGGAGGCCTCACCCATGCCTTCTCTGCACTGAGCCTTACGCCACACACTTCCTGCGGCTGAACCGCTCGTCACCTTGTGCTCACTCAACCCACGGACTTCCTACAATACCTAGACATTTTCTGATCCTGGTTTTGTGGCACTTTTATATCTTGAGACAAACAGCCCAGACAAACCTGCTGCCTCCCAGTCTAGCTTGTGCTGACAAGGAAACCCGGGGAAGGGGGGGGGGGGGGAGGAGGAGCAGCTTAGTTCAAGTCAAGCAGGAGGGCAGCAGGGATGAAGAGCTGTGGGGAGCAGAGCCATCAGGGCTCTGACTTTCCAGTGACCAGCTCTGCGTGGCCATGCTAGGCGACAGTACACTGAGCGTGACACACCCCGCCCTTCAACGCAGTGCTGAATAGAAGCCAAGAGACAGAATACCAAACTATATTTACTGTTTACAGTAGTAAAGGAGAACCAAGAATGTACAAACTGGTGAATAAACACAATACAGCCAACAACACCCCACCCAAGCCTCCTAACAAAACAGGAAACCAACATTTTCTGCAAGATTTCAAGCAAGCAAAAGATGATGGGTCATCATCGGGTGACTATCAAAGGCAGAGATGGCCAGGAAGCAGCAATGGACCCTTCTGGAAGGACAACAGCACAACTACAAACACTTAAATTGGTATAGATCCAAATATTTCACAAAGCTGAAGTCACCATACTAATGCACAGCCTCACTGCGTATTTGGAGGTGGTAGAGCACAAATCCATGAGAGTATTGCAAGTCACTTTTCCGTGCGTTTCACCCAAGACCACACTGTGGGGAGCTCTTTACACAATGCCCTAACTGCAAATTCAGTGATAATCTTACTTTTTTATAGACCATAATTATTCATCAGAAGCAAATACCAAAAGAAATCCAAGGCCACATATAATTACCAAGTAAGTAATGTAATTACATCTTCAAAAAGGGGGAAATTGGGTTTTGTTGTGCCAATCTTTGGCCATGTGCCCACTAGCAGGTGCTGAGTGGGGGGTGAGGGAGAACAGGAGCACTCTGGGCCATGTTATTGAAAGACTTTTTATCTTTTAAGAAACAGCATTTTTCCCTTCAACTTTGCCATATCTTGACAAAGCTTAAACTTGCATTTTAACATCCTTTGTCTATTTTAAGTGGAATCCTGCCCCTTTCCGGCATGTGACTGGACCAAGCAGCAGGGACCAGGCAGCGCTAGCCGCAGACAGAGCCAGCACTTGGCCCCAGGTTTGGGAGAAAAAATATTTGAAGGAAAAGAAAAAAAAAACAAACCCCAAAACCTGAACTCATTTCACCTAAACAAGGGAAGCCCTCCGGTGCCCCGCATCCCTGCAGGGAGAGTTCTGGGTGGTGCTCAGCATGCTCCGGAGAATGTGTCCTGGACTCCGCTGTGCCTGGCCAGCCACGTGCTCACCATCCAGTAGCAATAGCAGGGCCCATGGGAGGCGTGATGCTGGGCGTCCAGGTGAAGACGGTTCCTGGGGTGGCGGTCCCCCCTGTCTGCTGCTGGAACACATCGATGGTGTCCTCATCCTCCATCTCCAGCTGCAGCAGCAGCAGCAGCAGCCCAGCAGAAGAGAACAGGAAATGTAAGACAAGGAAGATGCACCAACCCCATTGCCCTGAGCTGCTGCTCTTCTCCAGCCATGGGGGCTGGCCATGCATGTGTAGCACGCATAGCATGCATGGAAACACCCTATGGAGCAAAATACGTACCTCCCTCATTCCCACTAACACAACTCAGAACACTCACAACACATAACTAACGGAAAACCCAGGTCATTAGGAGACAGACTGGAGTGTCTACGCTCAGACTGAACATTTCACAAACGAGGTAGAGTGGCACCGGCTCCTCAGGGCCTGGCAGGAGCCACAGCGGGCCACGCTTGCACAACCCAACGCCAGCAAGACCTCCTCAGAGATCCCCTGCTTGCTTCTCTTCTGACAGCAGGCACCACAGCGTCCTTCTAACCTCATCCTGTTCTCTGGACAACGGAGGGCTTCTGCTGCTCGAGACCAATGAGGCCAGCAGCAGGAACATGTCTAGAATATTCTCACAGGCCAATGACAGGCTCCCAGGCAGTACCTCCTCCTGCGCTGGGCAGCCTGCACCGGCTTTAGGCTTGAGCCTCATCACCCACCCAGCCTGCCCTTCAGGAACCCTTCAGACCATACACTGTGTCATTTCCAAAAGTGGCTAAAACGGGGTATTATTGAAAAGGTATTTTCCAGATTTAAGATAGTATTTTATAAAAGGTATTTCCACATAAAACATTCCAGTTGATTACCGCTTTGTAAGAGACAGAAAAAAAAGTATTTTCAGCCGGGCACCAGTGGCTCAGCTACTCAGGAAGCTGAGATTTGAGGATCATGGTTCAAAGCCAGCCTGGGCAGGAAAGTCCTTGAGACTCTCATCTCCACAATGAACCACCAGAAAACCAGAAGTGGCGCTGTGGCTCAAGTGTAAAGCACTCACCTTGAGCTGAAGAGCGCAGGGACAGTACCCAAGCCCAGAGTTCAAGCTCCACGACCAACAAAAAAAAAAGTATTTTCTCCATTATATAGATAAACAAGCTGCTGAGCGTCCTAGTCTGAAGTGACTGAAAACACACTGGAACTTAAGTTCTAAAGCTTCCAGAAGCTCTGCTGCACAGTAATGCGAGCTGTGGACAGGCCTGTATCTGCGTGTGACACATCGATGTGTGCAGAACTCTGAGACAGCAGCCAGCCAGCCACATCACCTGTGCAAAATGCTTGCAGGAAACAAGAGCTACACATGGACTAAACCTGCAAGTTAAGAGTCCAGACAAGTAGTGGGGAGAAGCCCTGCATTGGTTTATGGGTAGTCCCCAGCGAGGAACCTGAGCTCCTAGTAGCCCTGCCTTCCCCCCGCCAGACAGCAAAGAGGTTTGATGTAGGACACCCTTTCCTCTTTTTAAAAACTTAATCTCAAAATAGGAAAATTTAAAAGTCTAATAATTAAAACCAGTAAGAAAATGTATGTCATTCTGTGTGCACCCTTCAGTAGTTTTCAGATAAGAGTATTCCAAATGGCAGCTACTCAAATCAGACACAGTGTCAGCTTCATACCTGTGCAGGAGTGTCTGTTTCATTAATTGGTTGACCATCAAATCTGAATCTAATCTGTCTCATTGACAAGCCCTGAAAGGAAAAAGCAATTAGCATGAAGTATTTCCAGATTACAAAGCCTAACTCAAGAAATAGTTATTTATATAACGTTATCTACATATACACACATCAGAACCATCCTCAGCGGCCCACAGCCTGTTTCCTGGGCTGCCTGGAGCTGTCCCTTGCAGCCTTCACTCCGCTGATCCTCATCCATTCCCCACCTGCCCTGACCCTGCCCGCTCACTTCCTCCTGGAAGTCAGGCAGACCTGTTTGCCTCCACACAGCTCAGGTGGCAGAGGATCATGTTCAGGAAGGAGGGCAGCAGGACCATGTGTCCCAAGGGGACAGAGCCACTCCGTCGACCCAGCAGCTTCTTTTCCTGGACACAAGGCAGGCCGGCCCAAAGCTGCTGCAATGACTAGAGGGAAGGAAAGGCACCGTGCCAGAATGGAGAGGAGGGAGCGGAGATGAGGCTGCGGCCTCTGGTGGAGGTTGAGAGCCACAGCTCCCTGCACACTGTGGGCCTGAGGATCTCAGTGGGACCACAGGCACAGGCTCCCAGGAAGACAAGTACATCTGAGCCACCAAGGCAGGGACACAACACATGGCTGGGTCTGAATGAATGCTCACACCCCAGGAGGGGCAGCAACCCTCCTTCCACAGCAACAAACCAGACATGCTCTTTCTGGAGACTCAGACTGGCAAGAGCTATAGCCAGTAAAGGCAAGCACCTCAACCTGCCCTACCCTGGGCATGCCCGGGGACCTCTCCATCCCCACACCTGGGCGTGCCCGGAGCCCTGTCCATCCCCACACCTGGGCGTGCCCAGAGCCCTGTCCATCCCCACACCTGGGCGTGCCCGGAGCCCTGTCCATCCCCACACCTGGGCGTGCCCGGAGCCCTGTCCATCCCCACACCTGGGCGTGCCCGGAGCCCTGTCCATCCCCACACCTGGGCGTGCCCGGAGCCCTGTCCATCCCCACACCTGGGCGTGCCCGGAGCCCTGTCCATCCCCACACCTGGGCGTGCCCAAGGACCTCTCCTTGGGACCACTCCTGGGAAATTTAATGACACTCAGACTACAGACTCTGGGCCCCACAGAGCCACAACCCCAGCAGCCACCTGTAGCTAACGTGGTGCCTGCCATACACACCTCCTCATTAGTGGATAGTTTGTGGCTTCTTCCTTAAATATAAGCAGAAACCAAGGATCACAGCACCTTTAAGGCATGACTCAAACATGTAAGATCAGACCAGAAAAGGAGACAGGGAAAAGGAAGGCGAAAAGGCAGTTAAAACACGTGCACGCATGTGCTTAGAGCCTTTAGGGAGATGAAAAGTAATGCTGTACCAGAAGACAGAAGTTGCTGCCAAAGAAGACCAAGAAGCACCAACAAGTTTTTGGACTTAAAGCCATAACAGAAATAAGGATAGCTGTGTGTCTGCCTCGCAAGTTCAACTCCAGTACCACCATTAAAGAAAGGATAGTTTAGAAAAACTTCTCAAAAAGGGACCAACAGCCAATAGCAACAATAAACCAACATAAAACAGGAATAACTGTCAAAATGCAAGTGTGAAAGCTGGGCGCTGGTGGATCCCGCCTATAATCCTAGCTATTCAGGAGACTGACATCTGAGTCAGCCCAGCAGGAAAGTCTATGAGACTCATCTCCAATAAACTAAAGTGGCGCTGCAGGCTCAAGTGGCAGAGTGCTGGCCTTGAATACAAAGAGTCTCAGGGACAGCACCCAGGCTCTGAGTTCAAGCCCCAGAACAAGCAGAACAAAACAAAGCATAAAAGACAACTGACACAGGAGGATCAGAGTTCCAATGGAGAACGGGGACTAACAACAGATTATTAAGGACTAGCAGTCACCTTTCCAAAAGGAAGCCTGAGGAAGGAGGGAAGAGTTGCCCAGCCCAGAGCATCTGGCCTGAAATCCAAACGAGAGATGGTCCCATAGCTTCTAGAGAAAAATCAAGTGACACAGAGGACAAAGCTCACATGCCCTGCACACTCCTATCACACTAAAGACAGCTGTGCAGGAACCCCCCAAAAGAAAGGGAGGCTCCACTCGGAATGCTCCTGCGGCCAGCTATCCAGGGTGACAGCATAGTGTACAGCTGGCTCTGTGGTGAGCTCAGGGTGACCGTACAGTGTACAGCTGGCTGTGTGGTGAGCTCAGGGTGACAGTACAGTGTACAGCTGTGTGGTGAGCTCAGGGTGACAGTACAGTGTACAGCTGTGTGGTGAGCTAAGGGTGACAGTACAGTGTACAGCTGGCTGTGTGGTGAGCTCAGGGTGACAGTACAGTGTACAGCTGGCTCTGTGGTGAGCTCAGGGTGACAGTACAGTGTACAGCTGGCTGCGTGGTGAGCTCAGGGTGACAGTACAGTATACAGCTGGCTCTGTGGTGAGCTCAGGGTGACAGTACAGTGTACAGCTGTGTGGTGAGCTCAGGGTGACAGTACAGTGTACAGCTGGCTGTGTGGTGAGCTCAGGGTGACAGTACAGTGTACAGCTGTGTGGTGAGCTCAGGGTGACAGTACAGTGTACAGCTGGCTGTGTGGTGAGCTCAGGGTGACAGTACAGTGAACAGCTGGCTGCGTGGTGAGCTCAGGGTGACAGTACAGTGAACAGCTGGCTGCGTGGTGAGCTCAGGGTGACAGTACAGGGTACAGCTGGCTGCGTGGTGAGCTCAGGGTGACAGTACAGTGTACAGCTGGCTGTGTGGTGAGCTCAGGGTGACAGTACAGTGAACAGCTGGCTGCGTGGTGAGCTCAGGGTGACAGTACAGTGTACAGCTGGCTGTGTGGTGAGCTCAGGGTGACAGTACAGTGTACAGCTGGCTCTGTGGTGAGCTCAGGGTGACAGTACAGTGTACAGCTGGCTGCGTAGTGAACTCAGGGTGACAGTAGTGTACAGCTGGCTGCGTGGTGAGCTCAGGGTGACAGTACAGTGTACAGCTGGCTCCATGTGAGCTCAGGGTGACAGTACAGTGTACAGCTGGCTGCGTGGTGAACTCAGGGTGACAGTAGTGTACAGCTGGCTGTGTGGTGAGCTCAGGGTGACAGTACAGTGTACAGCTGGCTGCGTGGTGAGCTCAGGGTGACAGTACAGTGTACAGCTGGGTGGTGAGCTCAGGGTGACAGTACAGTGTACAGCTGGCTGCGTGGTGAGCTCAGGGTGACAGTACAGTGTACAGCTGGGTCTGTGGTGAGCTCAGGGTGACAGTACAGTGTACAGCTGGCTGTGTGGTGAGCTCAGGGTGACAGTACAGTGTACAGCTGGCTCTGTGGTGAGCTCAGGGTGACAGTACAGTGTACAGCTGGCTCCATGTGAGCTCAGGGTGACAGTACAGTGTACAGCTGGCTGTGTGGTGAGCTCAGGGTGACAGTACAGTGTACAGCTGGCTGCGTGGTGGGCTCAGGGTGACAGTACAGTGTACAGCTGTGTGGTGAGCTCAGGGTGACAGTACAGTGTACAGCTGTGTGGTGAGCTCAGGGTGACAGTACAGTGTACAGCTGTGTGGTGAGCTCAGGGTGACAGTACAGTGTACAGCTGGCTGCGTGGTGAGCTCAGGGTGACAGTACAGTGTACAGCTGGCTGGGTGGTGAACTCAGGGTGACAGTACAGTGTATAGCTGGCTGTGTGGTGAGCTCAGGGTGACAGTACAGTGTACAGCTGGCTCCATGTGAGCTCAGGGTGACAGTACAGTGTACAGCTGGCTGCGTGGTGAGCTCAGGGTGACAGTACAGTGAACAGCTGGCTGCGTGGTGAGCTCAGGGTGACAGTACAATGTACAGCTGCGTGGTGAGCTCAGGGTGACAGTACAGTGAACAGCTGCGTGGTGAGCTCAGGGTGACAGTACAGTGTACAGCTGGCTGCGTGGTGAGCTCAGGGTGACAGTACAGGGTACAGCTGGCTCTGTGGTGAGCTCAGGGTGACAGTACAGTGTACAGCTGGCTCTGTGGTGAGCTCAGGGTGACAGTACAGTGTACAGCTGGCTGCGTGGTGAGCTCAGGGTGACAGTACAGTGTACAGCTGCGTGGTGAGCTCAGGGTGACAGTACAGGGTACAGCTGGCTGTGTGGTGAGCTCAGGGTGACAGTACAGTGTACAGCTGGCTCTGTGGTGAGCTCAGGGTGACAGTACAGTGTACAGCTGGCTGCGTGGTGAGCTCAGGGTGACAGTACAGTGTACAGCTGCATGGTGAGCTCAGGGTGACAGTACAGGGTACAGCTGGCTGTGTGGTGAGCTCAGGGTGACAGTACAGTGTACAGCTGCGTGGTGAGCTCAGGGTGACAGTACAGTGTACAGCTGGCTCTGTGGTGAGCTCAGGGTGACAGTACAGTGTACAGCTGCGTGGTGGACTCAGGGTGACAGTACAGTGTACAGCTACGTGGTGAGCTCAGGGTGACAGCACAGTGTACAGCTGGCTGTGTGGTGAGCTCAGGGTGACAGTACAGTGTACAGCGGGCTCTGTGGTGAGCTCAGGGTGACAGTACAGTGTACAGCTGCGTGGTGAGCTCAGGGTGACAGTACAGGGTACAGCTGGCTGTGTGGTGAGCTCAGGGTGACAGTACAGTGTACAGCTGGCTCTGTGGTGAGCTCAGGGTGACAGTACAGTGTACAGCTGGCTGTGTGGTGAGCTCAGGGTGACAGTACAGGGTACAGCTGGCTCCATGTGAGCTCAGGGTGACAGTACAGTGTACAGCTGGCTCTGTGGTGAGCTCAGGGTGACAGTACAGTGTACAGCTGGCTCTGTGGTGAGCTCAGGGTGACAGTACAGTGTACAGCTGGCTGTGTGGTGAGCTCAGGGTGACAGTACAGTGTACAGCTGCGTGGTGAGCTCAGGGTGACAGTACAGTGAACAGCTGCGTGGTGAGCTCAGGGTTACAGTACAGTGTACAGCTGGCTGCGTGGTGAGCTCAGGGTGACAGCATAGTGTACAGCTGGCTGTGTGGTGAGCTCAGGGTGACAGTACAGTGTACAGCTGGCTGCGTGGTGAGCTCAGGGTGACAGTACAGTGTACAGCTGGCTCTGTGGTGAGCTCAGGGTGACAGTACAGTGTACAGCTGGCTGTGTGGTGAGCTCAGGGTGACAGTACAGTGTACAGCTGGCTGTGTGGTGAGTTCAGGGTGACAGTACAGTGTACACCTGGCTGTGTGGTGAGCTCAGGGTGACAGTACAGTGAACAGCTGGCTCTGTGGTGAGCTCAGGGTGACAGTAGTGTACAGCTGGCTGTGTGGTGAGCTCAGGGTGACAGTACAGTGAACAGCTGGCTCTGTGGTGAGCTCAGGGTGACAGTACAGTGTACAGCTGCGTGGTGAGCTCAGGGTGACAGTACAGTGTACAGCTGGCTCCATGTGAGCTCAGGGTGACAGTACAGTGTACAGCTGGCTGCGTGGTGAGCTCAGGGTGAAAGTACAGGGTACAGCTGGCTGCGTGGTGAGCTCAGGGTGACAGTAGTGTACAGCTGGCTCTGTGGTGAGCTCAGGGTGACAGTACAGTGTACAGCTGGCTGCGTGGTGAGCTCAGGGTGACAGTACAGGGTACAGCTGGCTCTGTGGTGAGCTCAGGGTGACAGTACAGTGAACAGCTGGCTGCGTGGTGAGCTCAGGGTGACAGTACAGTGTACAGCTGGCTGCGTGGTGAGCTCAGGGTGACAGTACAGTGTACAGCTGGCTGCGTGGTGAGCTCAGGGTGACAGTACAGTGTACAGCTGGCTGTGTGGTGAGCTCAGGGTGACAGTACAGTGTACAGCTGGCTCCATGTGAGCTCAGGGTGACAGTACAGTGTACAGCTGGCTGCGTGGTGAGCTCAGGGTGACAGTACAGTGTACAGCTGGCTGCGTGGTGAGCTCAGGGTGACAGTACAGTGTACAGCTGGCTCTGTGGTGAGCTCAGGGTGACAGTACAGTGTACAGCTGGCTCTGTGGTGAGCTCAGGGTGACAGTACAGTGTACAGCTGCGTGGTGAGCTCAGGATGACAGTAGTGTACAGCTGGGTGGTGAGCTCAGGGGGACAGTACAGTGTACAGCTGCGTGGTGAGCTCAGGGTGACAGTACAGTGTACAGCTGGCTCTGTGGTGAGCTCAGGGTGACAGTACAGTGAACAGCTGGCTCTGTGGTGAGCTCAGGGTGACAGTACAGTGTACAGCTGGCTCCATGTGAGCTCAGGGTGACAGTACAGTGTACAGCTGGCTGGGTGGTGAGCTCAGGGTGACAGTACAGTGTACAGCTGGCTCTGTGGTGAGCTCAGGGTGACAGTACAGTGTACAGCTGTGTGGTGAGCTCAGGGTGACAGTACAGTGTACAGCTGCGTGGTGAGCTCAGGGTGACAGTACAGTGTACAGCTGGCTGTGTGGTGAGCTCAGGGTGACAGTACAGTGTACAGCTGCGTGGTGAGCTCAGGGTGACAGTACAGTGTACAGTTGGCTGCGTGGTGAGCTCAGGGTGACAGTACAGTGTACAGCTGCGTGGTGAGCTCAGGGTGACAGTACAGTGTACAGCTGGCTGCGTGGTGTGCTCAGGGTGACAGTACAGTGTACAGCTGGCTCTGTGGTGAGCTCAGGGTGACAGTACAGTGTACAGCTGGCTCTGTGGTGAGCTCAGGGTGACAGTACAGTGTATAGCTGGCTGCGTGGTGAGCTCAGGGTGACAGTACAGTGAACAGCTGGCTCTGTGGTGAGCTCAGGGTGACAGTACAGTGTACAGCTGGGTGGTGAGCTCAGGGTGACAGTACAGTGTACAGCTGGGTGGTGAGCTCAGGGTGACAGTACAGTGAACAGCTGGCTGCGTGGTGAGCTCAGGGTGACAGTACAGTGTACAGCTGGCTGTGTGGTGAGCTCAGGGTGACAGTACAGTGTACAGCTGGCTGTGTGGTGAGCTCAGGGTGACAGTACAGGGTACAGCTGGCTGCGTGGTGAGCTCAGGGTGACAGTACAGTATACAGCTGGCTGTGTGGTGAGCTCAGGGTGACAGTAGTGTACAGCTGGCTCTGTGGTGAGCTCAGGGTGACAGTACAGTGTACAGCTGCATGGTGAGCTCAGGGTGACAGTACAGTGTACAGCTGGCTCTGTGGTGAGCTCAGGGTGACAGTACAGTGTACAGCTGGCTGCGTGGTGAGCTCAGGGTGACAGTACAGTGTACAGCTGGCTGTGTGGTGAGCTCAGGGTGACAGTAGTGTACAGCTGGCTGCGTGGTGAGCTCAGGGTGACAGTACAGTGTACAGCTGGCTGCGTGGTGAGCTCAGGGTGACAGTACAGTGTACAGCTGGCTGCGTGGTGAGCTCAGGGTGACAGTACAGTGTACAGCTGGCTGCGTGGTGAGCTCAGGGTGACAGTACAGTGTACAGCTGGCTCCATGTGAGCTCAGGGTGACAGTACAGTGTACAGCTGGCTCTGTGGTGAGCTCAGGGTGACAGTACAGTGTACAGCTGGCTGCGTGGTGAGCTCAGGGTGACAGTAGTGTACAGCTGGCTCTGTGGTGAGCTCAGGGTGACTGTACAGTGTACAGCTGGCTGCGTGGTGAGCTCAGGGTGACAGTACAGGGTACAGCTGGCTGTGTGGTGAGCTCAGGGTGACAGTACAGTGTACAGCTGGCTGTGTGGTGAGCTCAGGGTGACAGTACAGTGTACAGCTGGCTCTGTGGTGAGCTCAGGGTGACAGTACAGTGTACAGCTGGCTGCGTGGTGAGCTCAGGGTGACAGTACAGTGTACAGCTGGCTGCGTGGTGAGCTCAGGGTGACAGTACAGTGTACAGCTGTCCGGGGTGGATTCAGGACAGGGTGTGGAGGTCCGTGTGGGAAGCCGGACCCTACCTTTAACAGGCTGTGTACCATCTAAGGTCAGAAACCAGGAGGAAGACTGGCCCACAGGACCAGGGCTTGAAAAGTGGGGAGGAGCAGAGGAATGTATATAAACATTTTATAGACTACTCATAGTTTTAAAAGGTGTCCTGTCAGGAAAACACATCCACACCCATGTGTAACCCTAACCACAAGCCTGTGTGCATTTCTAGAGGCATAAGAATTTTTTAGATTTTTGCTTTTCAGCAGCATTAGGGTTTGAACTCAAGGCTTTTTACTACAAGGCCGATGCTCTGCTGCCACACCTCCAGCCGTAGATAAACCATAATGGACATCACGGGGTATAATCAGCAACACCTCGGGAAGGGCAGGGAAAGTGTACCAAACAGCCACAGCTTGCTGTATCCCGTGTGGCCCCAGGACCCTGGCTCCCTGGGTGGGGAACCTGCAGCACCCCCGTTCTGCAGCCGCACCTGCCTCTCGCAGTAGGCCTTCATCAGCTTGCTCAGGGGCGTGTGCCTCTTGATCTTGAACTGCACCACAGAGCCATCCTGCCCCGCCACCTTCAGGTTGATGTGGTCATTCTCCGTCTTCACTCCCTCCTGCCACAGACAGGAAATGGGTCTCAAAATAACCTTAGTGTTAACGGGAAGTCTTTAGGTAATAAATGGCTGTTGGCTCCTTTTTTTTTTAAGTCATTAAAACCAACGTCATTCTCCTGCAATTCAGAGTGGCTCACATGACTTTTATTTTTAGAGTTTATCTTTACTGTCCACTTGTTAAGCATCCGTGTGAGGACATGCTACGTACAGCCTGGCTTAATGCATCTAAGGGAGAAAAACCAGAAAGCCCACCTTGTTTTAAAATTACTCGTGAGGCTAGTAAAAACATTCACATTCACAGATTACATATAGCTGGAAGAAAGGAAAAAGAAAGCAGCCAAACACTTCCAAGGAGCAGAGGCTGCCCGCCGAAGCGGCTGCAGGGACCCTGGGGCGCAGGGTCGCCCCTCACTGCCCAAGCTCTCATGCCGGCCGGCTGCGCCTCCTGGAGACCGGGAGAGGCGCCGTCTGCTCCCCAGGGCAGACTCCCCAGCACATCAGAGACACATTCACTCACCCCCGCCAGCCCTTGCCTGGAGGGAGCCAGCCACATGACACCTGCTCTAGAACAAAGTGGCAATGCAAGTGAAGAGCACCAATGACCGCAGACCCTGTGTCATGACTGAGAGATGGAGCCCCAGAGATCAGGAAGGACCCGTGCCTGCCTCATGAGCACCATGTGGTGTGCTCAAAACACCCACACGTGGTGCCCCCCACACCAGGGCAGAGGTCATCTGACAGGCAGGCATGGATGGGGCCACGGTCCCTCTCTCTGCCCAAGAGCAGGACATCAAGAACTGAATGCTGCCAGGTGCCAGTGGCTCTCGCCTGTCATCCCAGCTACTCAGGAGGCTGAGATCTGAGAATCATGGTTACACCAGCCCAGGCAGGAAACTCTGTCAAGACTCTTATCCTGGGAGTGGGACTGTGGTTCAAATGACATGGCAAAAAAGTTCAAGGACAATGCCCAGGCCCAAGTCAAGTCCTAGGACAGACACCAAAAACATTAAATAAATAAAAGGCGGGGGCGGTGGTGGAGTGCTCCAACCCCTAACTCTAATGAGCGTGGAGATCCAGCAGTGTGTCAAGAATAAATATACATCTAAAATCAACCCAAGGGATTGGCCCCGGTGGCTGCGACTGTAATCACAGCACTTGGAGACCTGATGCAAGAAGACACGGGTTCAAGGCCAGCCTGAGCCACTGCCTTAGACCAGAAACCATCAGTGGCTTGGGGCCTGCAGTTCTGTGCCCAGCCAGCATGGTGCTGCCCCTTGGGTGGGAGCTGGACCCCGGGGGCAGAACCACCAACCTTCCCCCCCTCCCCCCCCCCCGTTACCCTGGGGCCCATCTGCTGCCCAGGCCTCCGCAGCTGACCAGCTTCTGCGAGCTCAGCTGAGGAGACCTGTGCAGCTCCTCACGTTTCGCTTTATTACGTCCAGGGCCTTGGCCTTGCAGGGCCCAGCGCATCCGGCCCACGCACCTGGAGGACAGCAGCCCCTGGGGGGGGGGGGGGGGTCCTGGAGGATGGTGGCCCCTGGGTGGGGCCCTGGAGGACGGTGGCCCCTGGGGGAGGTGAGGGGGTCCTGCAGGACGGCGGCCCCTGGGGGGGGTCCTGGAGGACTGTAGCCCCTGGGGGGGTCCTGGAGGACGGTGGCCCCTGGGGGGGTAGGGGGTCCTGGAGGACGGTGGCCCTTGGAGAGGGGGGTGGGGGGTCCTGGAGGACAGCAGCCCCTGGGGGGAGGTGGGGGGGGGTCCTGGAGGACAGCGGCCCCTGGACGGGGGTCCTCCCACCAGTGGGGACAAGACGTGTCTGCGGAGAGAGCAGCTCCGGGCCGGGGAGGGCCAGGGAGGGGACGCCGGCCCCCCACCCGCCTGGCCTGCGGGTCAGCCGGAGGGAAGGTCAGCCAGGAGTGCGCAGCCTCACTTCCGCCGGCCGGGGCGGGGCCACACCGGGCCCCGAGGCGGCACCCCGTCTGACCCACGGTTGGAGCACCGGACCCGGGAGGGAGGGCGGCAGCGGGCGGGCTGCGCGGGAGCACCGGACCCGGACCCGGGAGGGAGGGAGGGCGGCAGCGGGCGGGCTGCGCGGGAGCACCGGACCAGGGAGGGAGGGCGGGCTGCGCGGCTGGAGCACCGGACCCGGGAGGGAGGGCGGCAGCGGGCGGGCTGCGCGGGAGCACCGGACCCGGACCCGGGAGGGAGGGCGGCAGCGGGCGGGCTGCGCGGGAGCACCGGACCCGGGAGGGAGGGCGGCAGCGGGCGGGCTGCGCGGGAGCACCGGACCAGGGAGGGAGGGAGGGCGGCAGCGGGCGGGCTGCGCGGGAGCACCGGACCAGGGAGGGAGGGCGGCAGCGGGCGGGCTGCGCGGGAGCACCGGACCCGGACCCGGGAGGGAGGGCGGCAGCGGGCGGGCTGCGCGGGAGCACCGGACCCGGACCCGGGAGGGAGGGAGGGCGGCAGCGGGCGGGCTGCGCGGGAGCACCGGACCAGGGAGGGAGGGCGGGCTGCGCGGCTGGAGCACCGGACCCGGGAGGGAGGGCGGCAGCGGGCGGGCTGCGCGGGAGCACCGGACCCGGACCCGGGAGGGAGGGCGGCAGCGGGCGGGCTGCGCGGGAGCACCGGACCCGGGAGGGAGGGCGGCAGCGGGCGGGCTGCGCGGGAGCACCGGACCCGGGAGGGAGGGCGGCAGCGGGCGGGCTGCGCGGGAGCACCGGACCAGGGAGGGAGGGAGGGCGGCAGCGGGCGGGCTGCGCGGGAGCACCGGACCAGGGAGGGAGGGCGGCAGCGGGCGGGCTGCGCGGCTGGAGCACCGGACTCGGGAGGGAGGGCGGGCGGGGTTGGAGGCGCGTCTGGGGGCGGGGCGGAGTCTGGGCGGGGCGGAGTCTGGGCGGGGCCGGCGCTGGGGGCGGGGCGGAGTCTGGGCGGGGCCGGCGCTGGGGGGCGGGGCGGAGTCTGGGCGGGGCCGGCGCTGGGGGCGGGGCCGGCGGCGCCGGGGGGAGGGGCGCGGGCGTCGGTGGGGGGGGCGCCTCGTCGGGCCGGGCGCGGTCCCGGCGGCGCCTGGCCGGGGCGCGGAGTCGGCGCCGGACGGGCCGGGCTTACCTTGGGCTTCTCCTCGGACATGGCTGCGCGGCGTTGGCGGCGGCGGGACGCGCGGCGGGAACGGGCGGCGCCGGAGCGGACGAGTCACGCTCTCCGCCCCACCGCAACTGTTCGCGGGGCCGCGCTTTATCCCCACATCCCGGCGCGCCGGTTGGTAGATGGCAGTCACGTGGCGCTGCGCGTGCACGATGCGCGCGTTCCCGGCGTCGGGCGCGCGCCGGCCGGCCGCGATTCTCGGCGGTTGGGCCTGCGTCACGGGGCGCGCGGGGCGGGGGCGCGCGGGGCGGGGGCGCGCGGGGCGGGGCGTGCGGCGCGGGCCTCGTGGGCCCGGGGTCGGGTCGGGCGCCGCCGCCCCGCGCGCCCCCGCCCCGCGCGCCCCCGCCCCGCGCGCTCCCGCGCCTCGCCTGCCCCGCGCGCCCCCGCGCCGCGCGCCCCGCCTGCCCCCGCCCCGCGCGCCCCCGCCCCGCGCGCTCCCGCGCCTCGCCTGCCCCGCGCGCCCCCGCGCCGCGCGCCCCGCCTGCCCCCGCCCCGCGCGCCCCCGCGCCTCGCCTGCCCCGCGCGCCCCCGCGCCGCGCGCCCCGCCTGCCCCGCGCGCCCCGCCTGCCCCCGCCCCGCGCGCTCCCGCGCCCCGCCTGCCCCCGCCCCGCGCGCCCCCCGCGCCCCGCCTGCCCCCGCCCCGCGCGCCCCCGCGCCGCGCCTGCCCCGCCTGCCCCTGCCCCTGCCCCGCGCGCCCCCGCGCCGCGCCGTCCCCCGTCCCCCCGCCCCGAGGGCTCCTCCGCGGAAGCGCCGGGCGTCGACGCCGCCCCCCGCCCCCCCCCAGCGCCGGCCCCGGCCTCGGGGCACAGCCCGGGCCGCCCTGGACGCCCAGCGGGCCGGGGCTGGGCCTGGCGGGAGCGGGCGGCGGCGGGCCCGGGGATCCGAGGACCACAGCCTGAAGCCGGGCCAGATCTCCAGTTAACCCGCGAAAAGCCGGACGGGGCGGTAACCCAAGCGGTAGGGCACCACCTTGAGCACCCAGGCGGAGACCAGGCGCCGCCTGCGGCCAGGCCCCGCGCGCCCGCGCCCCGAATGCGGTGAGCGCGCGCCCGGCCCGGGGCGGTCCGTGCGGCCTCCCAGCAGCCCTGCAGCCGGGCCGGGCCGGGCGCCCACAGCCGCGGGAAAGTGGGAACCCTCACCATCCCCTGGCTCCCGCGGACACTGCCAGGCCCAGCGTCCCGGGGCCCAACACACACCTCTGGGGAGATTGCCGACTGCTCTGGGAAAGCTGGTCAGGACCACCCTCCATCCCAGCCAGAGCCCAAGGCTTGGAGCCTGGCCCGAGGTCAGAGGCGGACAGCCCTCCCCCGCGGGTGGCAGGCAGCATTGAGACCCCCGTGCGCGTCAGCCTCTCCTGTCCTCCACTGTAAAACGCCATCATGACAAGAGATGCAGCCCAAGTGGAGGAGGGCAGCCCGGATCAGGAAAACAGTGCGAGAGACTATGCGACGTTAAATCCGAGGCCTTCTGCCATCACAAGGGTCATGGCTCAAGGTCAGTCTGAGAAAAAATGTTTGAGAGAACTACTGTCTCGATTAAAAAAACAAAAGCTGGACAGGGGTACACACCTGTCATCCCGGAAGTTCAGGCCAGCCTGGTAAAAAAGACTATGTTGTTTTCAAAAATAAAAAAGAAGAAGCCGGGCAGGTGTGGCTCACGTCTGTAATCCTAGCTACTCAGGAGGCTGAGATCTGAGGAGGTTTAAAGAAAAAACCCACAAAACTTGTTTACAGTTAACCAGCAAAAAAGCCAGAAGTGAAAGTGTAGCTCAAGTGGTAAAGCACCAGCTTGCAGCAGAAAAAGCCAAGTAGGAGTACAAGGCCCTGAGTTCAAGCCCCAGTCCTGACACAGAAATTATTAATAAAAGTCCATCATATGTGTAACTTGAATAGCCAGAGAAAAAAGAAATGGGCAGAAGAAAATAATGGCTAAGATTTTTCTAATACAGTGAAAGACATCATGCTACAGATCAAAATTTAGAAAGCCCACACCAACACTCAAAAGAAGCACGCATATTCAAAGTGGGAAAGCCAAGATTACAAAAACAAACATCCATATCTCAGGTAGAGAAAAAAATGACAAATCACACAGAGGCACTGGGGTGAGAAGCACAGCACACCTGTTCAGAAGACGAGAAGAGACGCGGCTGAAGAATATACACCAGCAAAACTGCAAAAGTGAAGCAGAGCCTGGGGTAGACAGGATGGGGGAAGCTCAGTGCAGTCTTCCGTAAAGGCCAAGCACTCTAGACAACAAAAGATTAGCAATACCCCAAAATTACCCCAAAACCTTGGGGCTCAGCACCAATGGCTCAGGCTTGTAATCCTAGTGATACCCCATATTAGCAGGTTATGGAATGAGACCCCAGCATAAGAAAAGACCCATGAAGCAACTTTCCAAGTGAGACAGATTGTCGGACCCACCTGTTCTTGGGGTACAGAGGTGAAAGCCCTGTGAAATAATCATTGTTCATGACAAGCCTTCACTGTAAGCCTCTTTTAATGTGTCTTTCCCTTTCAGTAAGCTAAGACCCTGGGGCCTGGGGTGATTTGACTCCCTGGTTGGCAGCTGTCAGACTCTTTCCCAGTGCCCAGGTGCCCAGAGTGAGGTCATAGTCCACCAGCCACCTGGACAGCCCTCATGCCAGCCCGGCTGCGTTGAACATGCAAAGACATCTTGAGGAAGTCACAAAACAGCCACAGCTGCTTGCTGCTAAAGCACGTCTCAGATTTAGAAGGCGCTGTGCCAGCCAGGGCAGATTGAACAGCTCACCTGGCTTTTTGCAGTCGCTAGCACCGGTGACCGTGAGACAGCTCGGTAGCTGGGATTGGTGCATTTTAGTGTGGGACCACTGATTGGTGCCATGATTGATGCCAACACAGCTCTGCACTCAAATACAGGATTCTGATTGCTGTGATTGGTGTAGACATCCTTGCCACCCTTTTGTTTGTTTGGGTTTTTGTGTGTGCACATCCTGGGCTTGAACTCAGGGCTTGGCACTTGTGTTCTTTTGCTCCAGATAGCACTCATCACTGGAGTCCCAGCTCCACTTCCGGCTTTGTGGTGGTTAATTGGAGATCAGAGTCTCATGACTTTCCTGCCCAGGCTGGCTTCAACACCTGATCCTCAGATCTTAGCCTCCTGAGTAGCTAGGGCTACAACCCCGAGCCACTGGTGCAGCCCACGGTTTTCCTTCTGCCTTCGTTTTAGCTCTTTCCTCTCAATCCTCGCCAAGGATCTAGCAACAGAGATGTGCAGTGGTGACAGAATTTGCACCCAAAACCTCGAGGGGAAAATACCTGGGGTCCAGAGTGGGTGTGGAGTCCCTGCTGTGTGCTCCCTCTCTTAGCTGAGGGCAACACAGTGCTAGGGAGCTGTGGGATAATGCTGTGGTCAGCGGTTTTAGAGAAATCCCACTGTGGTAGCCAGAGGACTGGTTCAGGACCCTGGGAGCCACTGAGAGCAGTGGGAATCTCAGAGACAGGGAAGGAGGAGTAATGAGGAGAGTGGCCGCGTCGTGTGTGTGCATCAGCACAAAGCTAGGCCGGCCCCCAACTGCACATCGGCCAGACCTACAGGAGAAGGCCTTGGGAAGTGGGCAGAGCTGGGGTTGGTGGACACAGTCAGACACAGTTCATAACCTGCAGCAAACAACAGTATCCAGGGCCAACAGAAGAGTGGGGGGGGGGGAGATGAACACTCTCCAAAGGAGACCAAGACTCAAGGCTCACAATGTCCACTGTCCCTTATAACACCAGGCTTGACAGGCAAAGAACAGGAAAACGGGAAGTAAGCCAGCATATGTCAGCTCAGCTCAAAACTCAGAATTATTATAGGCTGCAAACTGGCTATAACTATGTCCTTCAACTAAAAGTATACACTAAAGACATTAGGAAAACAAATTCTCAGAAGAGACATGGGAAAGTTGGTTTTTTTTTTAAAGAACCAACTGGGGCCAGGTGCTAGTGGCTCACGCCTGTCATCCTAGCTACTCAGGAGGCTGAGATCTGAGGATCGCGGTTCATTATGGTTCAAAGCCAGCCCGGGCAGGAAAGTCTGTGAGACTCTTATCTCCAATAAACCCCTAGAAAACCGGAAGTGGTGCTGTGGCTCAAGCAGTAGAGTGCTCACCTTGAACTGAAGAGCTCAGGGACAGCGCCCAGGCCCAGAGTTCAAGCCCCACGACCGACAAAAAATAAATAAATTGAAGAAATAAATTAGGTGAGGAAAGATCAATTTATAGATTTTAGGGAACAGCATTCTTTAACTGTTGAACACCAAAGACAAAATTCCTGATTGCCCCAGAGGAGTGTAAAGGGGGAACAGAGTTTAAATGACTGCAGGGAGTGGGAGAAAGGACCCACCACACACAGCACTCTCAACCCAAACTGCGGGCCTGCAAAAGAAACAGGAAAGTGAAGTGTTGAAGAAGAAAAAATCAATCGATGGAACTGTTCCTAAAAATCCCTGGTGACAGATCTACTGGAAATAGACTTCAAAACAGCCATCTTGAAGACATGAAGGGAAACAACATCCAGGAACAAGATAAACATTTCAAGAAGGAGCTGGATACCTGAATTAAAACCAAGAAGAAATTCTGGAACCAAAAAGTACAGTAACAAAAATTCACTACCGAGGTTCATGGCAGGCAAAGATTGATCATAAACTAAACTAGAACGAGGGAAATAATGGAGTCTGAGCAACAAAATAGTTAGGAAAAGGGTCTGGGAAGGTGGCTCAGTGGTAGAGCACTTGCCTTGCATGCCTGAGGCCCTGGATTCGACTCCTCAGCACCACATAAGCAAAAAGAAAAAAAAGCCGGAAGTGGTGCTGTGGCTCAAGTGGTAGAGCGCTAGCCTTGAGCTGAAGAGCTGAGGGACAGCGCCCAGGCCCAGAGTTCAGGCCCCACGACAGGACCAAAAAAAAAAAAAAAAAAGTTAGGAAAAGGGTACACATTGCCAGAGCCCAGAGGAGGAGAGAGGGAGGTGTGGAGGAAATTCTTGAAGAAGCAATAGCTGAAAACTCAAACTGGGTGAGAGACATGAATATAAACTTCCAGAAAGCTCCACAAACCCTAGTGAGATAACTCAAGAGAAACCCAGACTGA